AAGCTCAAAGGCACACGAGGCTGGATAGAGTGTCCCTCGGCCACTCGGTTCCACGTTGCAACCATGGGGTCGCCCAGCGGGAATGGTACGCCGACATGCCGACGCCACCATAACAGCTTCTGGAAAAGTCCTTGCGCTGCAGTTGGCCCTCCGTCAGACGCTTGCTTAAGGAAGGAAAAAAGCAGGGCAACCGGAGGCAACAGAACTTCTGCAGGCCCTTTGCCAAACTGCAACACATAATTGGCCCACCGCCTCAGGGCGCTGAGTTGCGCCTGCAGAGTGCGCCGCTCAAAGATCTGCAGCCGACTCGCCAGGCCTTCGCGAGCAATGGCCTGGTGCTCCTCAAGCAACGGTGACCACAACTCGCCATGCATGCCAAGGGCGGCATAGATCTCCCAGCAAGCATGGACCATCTCAGAGTGCTGGTGAACTGGCCTCAGGGCAGTCAGAGCATTCTGCGACCACTGAAAGGCGCCCGGCGCAATGCTACCCACAAGCCTGCACCGTTTGACAGCAGGCACAGGGAGGCCTTCAACAGGGCGAGCGCACTGCGGGGCTCCACTGGCACGCCTGGCAAGGAATGCCAAAGCGCCACGGGCAAGCTCGATGTACCATCCAGCTTCCTCATCGTCAATAAAGCCAGACATGGCTGTCACCAGCTCATCCGGTCGCAGGCCAGCAATGTCTGCATCGCACATCAACCCAGAACGGCGCATGCGCTCGATCACTGCACAATGAACGCCAGATTGGAAGAACTGCGAAAAGTCAGGCTCTGCAGGCACTGTCAAGGGTATTGCCTCTGCAGGCACTGTCAAGGAGGGCACAAGCGCAGGGCCATGGCCGTGTCCATGAAAATGCCGTTTCATACCCAAGAAAATGTGCGCCCTGCAGCTAGCCTGACTTGAACCATCAATCAATCAATCAAGGCGCGTGCTCTCAATCCTCTTTCTGCCAAACCCATCCAGGCCAAGAAAGTTTGAATTGTGTGTTTGTGTGTTTGTGTTTGTGTTTGTGTGTTTGTGTTTGTGTTTGTGTTTGTGTTTGTGTTTGTGTTTGTGTTTGTGTTTGTGTTTGTGTTTGTGTTTGTGGGTGTGCGTGCGCGTGCGCGTGCGCGTGGGCGTGGGCGTGTGCCTGTGCGTGTGCGTGTGCGTGTGCGTGTGCGTGTGCGTGTGCGTGTGCGTGTGCGTGTGCGTGTGCGTGTGCGTGTGCGTGTGCGTGTGCGCGTGCGTGCGTGCGTGCGTGCGTGCGTGCGTGCGTGCGTGCGTGCGTGCGTGCGTGCGTGCGTGCGTCCGTGCGTGCGTGCGTGCGTGCGTGCGTGCGTGCGTGCGTGCGTGCGTGCATGCGTGCGTGCGTGCGTGCGTGCGTGCGTGTGTGTGTCCCTCGCTCTCTGAGCGTGCATGCTTGACTGTCCACATGTGTTCACCTGCTCTGCCCGTCTGCCCTGCCCCGCCCCGCCCCCGCTCGCCCCGCCCCGCCTCGCCCGGAACGCCGCCCCGCTCTCTCGCTTCACCGCCTCCTCGCTTCCCGCCCGCCCTCGCTCGCCCTCGGGGCTTCCCCGCGCTTCTCGCTTCGTTTCCCGCCCCGCCCTGCCCTGCCCTGCCCTGCCCGGCCTGGCCTAGCTCTTTGTGCATGAGTGCGTGCGTGCGTGCGCGTGCGCGTGGGCGTGCGCGTGCGCGTGCGCGTGGGCGTGGGCGTGGGAGTGGGCGTGGGCGTGGGCGTGCGCGTGTGCGTGCGCGTGTGCGTGTGCGTGGGCGTGGGCGTGCCCGCGCGTGTGCGTGTGCGTGTACGTGTGCGTGTGCGTGTGCGTGTGGGTGTGGGCGTGCGTGTGCATGCGCGTGAGTGCGTGAGTGTGTAAGTGTGTGACTGTGTGTGTGTGTGAGTGTGCGAGTGTGTGTGTGTGTGAGTGTGTGTGTGTGTGGGAGTGTGTGTGTGTGTGATTGTGTGATTGTGTGATTGTGTGTGTGTGTGATTGCGCGCGCGTGTCTGTGTGATTGTCTGTGTGATTGTCTGTGTGATTGTCTGTGTGCTTGTCTGTGTGATTGTCTGTGTGATTGTCTGCGTGAGTGTCTGTGTGAGTGTCTGCGTGATTGTCTGTTTGAGTGTCTGTGTGTGATTGTCTGTGTGTGATTGTCTGTGTGTCTGTGTGTGAGTGTCTGTGTGATTTTGTCTGTGTGAGTGTCTGTGTGAGTGTCTGTGTGATTGTCTGTGTGATTGTCTGTGTGCGAGTGTCTGTGTGTGAGTGTCTGTGTGCGTGAGTGTCTGTGTGTGAGTCTGTGCGTGTGTCTGTCTGAGTGTGTCTGTGTGAGTGTGTCTGTGTGAGTGTGTCTGTGTGTGTGTGTCTGTTTGTGTGTGTCTGTGTGAGTGTGTCTGTGTGTGTGTCTGTGTGTGTCTGTGTGTGTCTGAGTGTGTCTGTGTTTGTGCGTGGCTGCGTGTCTGCGTGTCTGCGTGTCTGCGTGTCTGCGTGTGTGCGTGTGTGTGTGTGTGTGTGTGTGTGTGTGTGTGTGTGTGTGTGTGTGTGTGTGTGTGTGTGTGTGTGTGTGTGTGTGTGTGTGTGTGTGTGTGTGTGTGTGTGTGTGTGTGTGTGTGTGTGTGTGTGTGTGTGTGTGTGTGTGTGTGTGTGTGTGTGTGTGTGTGTGTGTGTGTGTGTGTGTGTGTGTGTGTGTGTGTGTGTGTGTGTGTGTGTGTGTGTGTGTGTGTGTGTGTGTGTGTGTGTGTGTGTGTGTGTGTGTGTGTGTGTGTGTCTGTGCGTGTCTGTGCGTGTCTGTGCGTGTCTGTGCGTGTCTGTGCGTGTCTGCGTGTCTGCGTGTCTGCGTGTGTGCGTGTGCAGGTTGCAGGCTATATACAGCAGGCTACAGTGGGGCTAAGATGGGCTAGCAAGGCTAGTGCGGCTGCGGCGCGTGAGGCTGAGGCGTGGCGCAGCGCGTGATGCTGCGCGCGCATGCTGGGCAGCGTGTGGGGCGTGGTGCGTGGTGCGTAGGCAGGGCAGCAGGCTGGTATACAGTACAGCAGAGTACAAGCGCAGAGTACAGTATACAGGCAAGGCAAGGCCATGCGCTGCAGGCCACAGGCGTGCGCAGCAGGCATGCATAGTGCAGTGTGTGTGTGTGTCTCTATGTGTGTGTGTGTGTGTCTATATGTGTGTGTGTCTCACTGTGTGTGTGTCTATGTGTGTGTGTCTGTCTATATGTGTGTGTGTGTGTGTCTATATGTGTGTGTGTGTCTATATGTGTGTGTGTGTGTCTATATGTGTGTGTCTATATGTGTGTGTGTCTGTCTGTGTGTGTGTGTCTATGTGCGTGTGTGTGTGTGTGTCTCTATGTGTGTGTGTGTCTCTATGTGTGTGTGTGTCTCTATGTGTGTGTGTGTGTGTGTCTATATGTGTGTGTGTGTGCGTCTATATGTGTGTGTGTGTGTCTATGTGTGTGTGTGTCTATATGTGTGTGTGTGTCTATGTGTGTGTGTGTGTGTCTGTGTGTGTGTGTCTCTATGTGTGTGTGTGTGTCTCTATGTGTGTGTGTGTGTCTATATGTGTGTGTGTCTGTGTGTGTGTGTGTCTGTGTGTGTGTGTGTGTCTGTGTGTGTGTGTCTGTGTGTGTGTCTGTGTGTGTGTGTGTCTGTGTGTGTCTGTGTGTGTGTGTGTCTGTGTGTGTGTGTCTGTGTGTGTGTCTGTGTGTGTGTGTCTGTGCGTGTGTGTGTGAGTGTCTGTGTGTGTGTGTCTGTGTGTCTGTGTCTGTGTGTCTCTGTGTGTGTCTGTGTGTGTCTGTGTGTGTCTGTGTGTGTCTGTGTGTGTCTGTGTGTGTCTGTGTGTGTCTGTGTGTGTCTGTGTGTGTCTGTGTGTGTGTGTGTCTGTGTGTGCCTGTGTGTCTGTGTGTGTCTGTGTGTGTCTGTGTGTGTCTGTGTGTGTCTGTGTGTGTCTGTGTGTGTCTGTGTGTGTCTGTGTGTGTCTGTGTGTGTGTGTGTGTCTGTGTGTGTGTGTGTCTGTGTGTGTCTGTGTGTGTCTGTGTGTGTCTGTGTGTGTCTGTGTGTGTCTGTGTGTGCCTGTGTGTGCCTGTGTGTGTCTGTGTGTGTCTGTGTGTGTGCCTGTGTGTGTCTGTGTGTGTCTGTGTGTGTCTGTGTGTGTGTGTGTCTGTGTGTGTCTGTGTGTGTCTGTGTGTGTCTGTGTGTGTCTGTGTGTGTCTGTGTGTGTCTGTGTGTGTCTGTGTGTGTCTGTGTGTGTCTGTGTGTGTCTGTGTGTGTCTGTGTGTGTGTCTGTGTGTGTCTGTGTGTGTGTCTGTGTGTGTCTGTGTGTGTGTCTGTGTGTGTCTGTGTGTGTGTCTGTGTGTGTCTGTGTGTGTCTGTGTGTGTCTGTGTGTGTGTGTCTGTGTGTCTGTGTGTCTGTGTGTGTGTGTCTGTGTGTCTGTGTGTGTGTGTCTGTGTGTGTGTGTGTGTCTGTGTGTGTCTGTGTGTGTCTGTGTGTGTCTGTGTGTGTCTGTGTGTGTGTGTCTGTGTGTGTGTGTGGGTGGGCGGGCGGGCGGGCAGGCGGGCGGGCGGGTGGGTGGGTGGGTGGGTGGGTGAGTGTGTGGGTGTGTGTGTGTGCGTATGTGGGTAAGTCTGCTGTATCTGCAAAGCAAATGCCGAGGTTGCCACTCATGGTGCGGGCAAACCCGAAGTCGCAAAGCCGTAGTGCGTTGTCCGCAGGATTGACTGGGACAGAAGCTCACTGCACTATCCGGGCCCTCCGAGCCAAGTTTGGTTTCACTTCTGTCGCATCTGCTGTCTGAGTCACAGCTTGTTCTTGCCCCTCAACCGAGAAGAATCAAGCTCTTACAGCCCTCGCGAGCTTCCGGCTCAGCAGGTTCTCCGGCTTGATGTCCCGATGAATGACCTCAAGCGGGGAGCCAACTGCTAGGTCGAAGGTCGGAACAGGTGGTTGACCTTTTGGTTGCAACAGGTCGAAAGGTTCACTTCAACCATCGAAGAAAGGCGTCTCTAGTACTAGTTTGCACACATAACTAGCTGGGGTGGCAACTGGCGAAAGAATGCCCCAAAAAGTTGAGGCAAAGGGCTTTCCATCCAGCACTCCTGATCAGCCTCCGGGGTCCGGCTAATTGGGCCGTGACCTTTCAGGGTTGGTCCCCGGTTAGGTTGCCATGAGTGCATACACCCGAAAGGGGGCTTGACGGCACAAATGGGCGGCATACCTGGATGCCAGGAAAGCTGCCTAACTCCCATGCTAGAATGTGTTTCTTCATGTGAATGTCCCTTTGCGAAAATGAATTATCGCAAACTCAAGCTAACATTAAACGCGAACCGTACCCTGCAGTGTTCGATGTGCCCCGCTGCACAACTCTTGAGATCACAGTCCAACGACACTTTGCACTGGGAGAGGCGCCTCATGCCGATGACAGTACTCAATGGCTCTAGCCTCAAAGACGGCGGCAAAGGGCTCACTGGAAACTGACTGATAACGTGCGACGACCGCGTTCTGGGGTGAGGTGTGAACCGCCTTGCTTGCATTTCTTGGACAGCATTAGCTTCAGTGTGTGAAAATCGTACGCTTCGGGGTTGGATAAGGCTTCGAATTGCTTGAAAGGAAAACTCAGCAACCGTTGCCTCCGGACAGTCGCCAATGGTGCTTGTGGCACTACAACAAGGTGCAGGCAAACTCTAAACGGAGTTGCGCTTTTGCGCTTCAAGCTGTGGCTCTCCTAGTGGGCTCTGCCAGTTGGTGAATCGATCCCACCGGCTGCCACCAAGCACCGGGCCAATTGGCAAGTCAGGACGCGAACAGTCTCGGTGTCAACGCCGTTGGGGTTGGCCTCTAATGTGCCAAACACTGGCTCAATTGTCCTCTTTTTCGAGTTGGACTGGCCAAAATCCTCATGCACAAGCTCATTAAGCTCTTCTGTGAAACGGAAGACCGCCGAATCCCTCCTATCCAGCTTGATAAGAATGTGTCTCCCTCAAACTTGGGTAAAATCTTTGGCCGCAGAGAACATGCGCTTGTTCAAGCAAAACCACAAGTGCCAAAAGCTTTACAGAGAGCGCTCTCGAACCAAAGATGCCCCGATCAAAGGGAGCTGCGCCTCCCTGACAAAGGTCAAGCCTCTACTGGAAGCTTGAACATCCCGATTCATTTTGGCAGGGTGTTTCGACCAAACGCAAGCCTTACAACAACCAGCAAAATGGCCTTGAAACAAAGCCAAAAATGACCAGTGTCCCTTCGTGCCCCCCTTCACAAATCATTCAAAAGCAAACCAACTTCTCCATTGTGCATGCACATTGCCGAAGCCGACCTCAAGGATGTCCAGCATGCTCTTCTCCACAAACTCGAAGACGAGGTACAGCTTCCCTTTCCGCCGAAAGGCCTCCACGAGGAAACTCGCTGGAAAGACGACTGGGAGTTGGCACCCCCTTTGCAGAAAAGTTCTCGGCCAAATACAATCTCGGCGCAACCTAGCTGCTTGCAACAGACGTTTGCTCGCCTGTCGGCCAATACAAAGGAAGACAAGACGTTTCAGCAATTTCTCGCCTCCTTCAGCTGCACGATGTTTTCGTGCCGCATGATTCTCAGGATCTTCACCTGCCCGGCAGGAAAATACTGGTTTGTCACAAGCCAAGACCCAAAAAAGAACCAGTAGGTAAAGGGAAACACGCCCAACCCCCCCCCCGGCCGCCCCCCCCTCCCAAGCACATACATAGGCCCTATTCAGCCGAACTCAAACAGCCAAACAGCTTGAAGCTCGCTCATCAGTAGCCTCCCTCAAGGTGGTCTTCCGGACGACCTCGTCCTCCTCCGACTCTTTGAACCTGGGTCACCAAACGCAAGAAGAGAGCCAGCAAGAAGTCACTCTGAGAAGAGAGGGCAGAGCTGAGAGAGCAAAGCTGTGAATTGGCCAAGGCCCTCGCTTCTTGATGGCCACCACCTCGTTAGTGTCCTGGGGCAAGCTGCTGAGGTCTGTCATACCCGATTACTCCGATTACGTGACGACGACTGGTCTTTCATGCACAGCCCCAGCCACTGGCCCACCCCCAGTCCTTGTTCTTGCATTTCAACACCACCCCATAGGCACCTTCGCCCACAACCCCGAGAACGTCGTACTTGTTCATGATGCCTGCCTTGCGTTACCGCAGGTGCATCTGATCCCTTGTCGTTTGCCCTAGGAAGGACCTGAGAGTTTTGACACAAACCTCACAGGCTTTGGATGAGGGAAAGATCTGGCTGGGTTCTGCCCTTCATCTTCAATGGCAAAGTGGCTCCAAGGCCCCAGCGCTTCTTCTCTCCTGAAGCTGGATCGAGATGCAAGGATGAAGCAACTCTTGATAAGAGGCGTGTTCAATAACCATATGGAAACACGGGAAATAGATGTGATGGTTGACCTCATTCAAGTCCGAGCAAATGGGTCCCCGCGAATGTCACGTTCACCACTGAACATTTGAAGCTACTTGCTGCCAAGGGTCTTCCCTATGGGCGGAGAGAGAGCTGCGCGCAGCTCATGACCCCCGCCCCGGATGTCCATGCCCCTGAAGCTGCGGAAATGCACATTCCAGCAACTGCAAACCAAAGAGAACAGCTACAACACTTGGAAGAACCCCAACAACACGAAAAAATGCCAGAAGAAGACCAACCAGGAACAACGAACGATAAGAAGAGAGAGACAGGAAGAGAAAAACCAAAACAACAAAAGAAAAAGGAAGAAACGGCAAACAAAAAAAAAAACAACCAGAACAAACCAAACAGAACAGCAGCAGAAGCAGCAGCAGCAAGCAAGCAAGCAAGCAAGCAAGCAAGCAAGCAAGCAAGCAAGCAAGCAAGCAAGCAAGCAAGCAAGCAAGCAAGCAGGCAAGCAGGCAAGCAGGCAAGCAGGCAAGCAGGCAAGCAGGCAAGCAGGCAAGCAGGCAAGGCAGGCAGCAGGCAGGCAAGCAGGCAAGCAGGCAGGCAGGCAGGCAGGCAGGCAGGCAGGCAAGCAAGCAAGCAAGCAAGCAGGCAAGCAGGCAAGCAGGCAGGCAGGCAGGCAGGCAGGCAAGCAGGCAAGCAGGCAAGCAGGCAAGCAGGCAGGCAGGCAGGCAGGCAGGCAGGCAAGGCAGGCAAGCAGGCAAGCAGGCAAGCAGGCAGGCAGGCAGGCAGGCAGGCAGGGCAGGCAGGCAGGCAAGCAGGCAAGCAAGCAGCAGGCAAGCAGGCAAGCAGGCAAGCAGGCAAGCAGGCAAGCAAGCAGGCAAGCAGGCAAGCAGGCAAGCAGGCAAGCAGGCAAGCAGGCAAGCAGGCAAGCAGGCAAGCAGCAGGCAAGCAGGCAAGCAGGCAAGCAGGCAAGCAGGCAAGCAGGCAAGCAGGCAAGCAGGCAAGCAGGCAAGCAGGCAAGCAGGGCAAGCAGGCAAGCAGGCAAGCAGGCAAGCAGGCAAGCAGGCAAGCAGGCAAGCAGGCAAGCAGGCAAGCAGGCAGGCAAGCAGGCAAGCAGGCAAGCAGGCAAGCAGGCAAGCAGGCAAGCAGGCAAGCAGGCAAGCAGGCAAGCAGGCAAGCAGGCAAGCAGGCAAGCAGGCAGGCAGGCAGGCAGGCAGGCAGGCAGGCAGGCAGGCAGGCAGGCAGGCAGGCAGGCAGGCAGCAGGCAGGCAGGCAGGCAGGCAGGCAGGCAGGCAGGCAGCAGGCAGGCAGGCAGGCAAGCAGCAAGCAAGCAAGCAAGCAAGCAAGCAAGCAAGCAAGCAAGCAAGCAATCGGCAACGGCAAGCAAGCAAGCGCAAGCAAGCAAGCAAGCAAGCAAGCAAGCAAGCAAGCAAGCAAGCAAGCAAGCAAGCAAGCAAGCAAGCAAGCAAGCAAGCAAGCAAGCAAGCAAGCAAGCAAGCAAGCAAGCAAGCAAGCAAGCAAGCAAGCAAGCAAGCAAGCAAGCAAGCAAGCAAGCAAGCAAGCAAGCAAGCAAGCAAGCAAGCAAGCAAGCAAGCAAGCAAGCAAGCAAGCAAGCAAGCAAGCAGCAAGCAAGCCAAGCAAGAAGCAAGCAAGCAAGCAAGCAAGCAAGCAAGCAAGCAAGCAAGCAAGCAAGCAAGCAAGCAAGCAAGCAAGCAAGCAAGCAAGCAAGCAAGCAAGCAAGCAAGCAGCAAATAACGCGGCAATGGTGTCGCAAGCACCAGCGTGGACACACCCGGGACTTGCCATGATGCAGATTTAAGTTGCTTTGCCACCATTCCCTTCCAGACAACATGTCAGGATCCACGGATCATACCGGCCAAAATCCACACATTACGTGCGTCGCAGCTTTTTCAGTCACCGGCCCGAATCTTGCATGTCTGCATTCAGAGCCTAATCACAGGTTGGCCCATTCAGGCAATCACGGCAACGCTGCCAAAGAGTTCACGGCGCGTGCAAGTTGCGGCACAGATCAAAGGCCAAACCGCTCGAGACGCTCAAGTCGTGCCAGGTTTACCTTAGAAACAGCATCAAGACAACAAGTAAAAGCCGGAAAATGCAAGACTGTTTATGTCTTGTGACTTGCCGAGTTCCGTCAAGCACCTAAACCACAAGCTCCAACCGATGCTGTTCACGCCGCCAACCAATGCTCTCCAGACACCCGCAGCAGCTTGTCGGCATCTCGCATGTCTTTGCGGCCTGCAGTCTTTACGTATCATTCATGTCTTTCCGCGCAGACTCAGACTATGTGTCGTCCCTCCCTTCCAGCGCACACCCTCCCAAAGGCCTGGGGTGAGACGTGGCACTCGGATTCCTCGGGCAGTAGACTGGCAAAGGGAAACAACATGTGCGGAGGACCTTGTCAAGACAAGAGACACCCAGGAGTTTCTGCTGAAACTGTGGCTTTGACAAGTGACACCTGCATGTCCGTTCGGCAGGGCTTACACTGCGTTCGGGATCAAAAGGAACTGTTCGGCCTGCCTTTGTCCACTTCCACGAACCAATGACGGTAAGACAGGTGTCCACCCCGAAAACAACACCGAACACACCAGGGGGGGATTGGATTAGCGATCCCAACGCTAGCTGCAAGCCGGGCATCTTTCCGGTTGTTCCTGGGCACCCGCCTTGAGGCGGATGTCGCCTACGGCCGCGTTTCACATTTGAACTTCTGGGACCAAGCCACCGGCGCGGATCTGGCGCCTTTCAAATCCTCTCTCCCATAGGAAGAGTCCAATGGATCGTCCAGCAACTTGGCTTCCTCAAAGGCATGGGCCAAGGCATGCTTCAGGTGGGCCTTGCCACCACGGGCGAGCTTCCAGCTGGCCATCTTCAAACTGAGAGCGCCAAGCGGCCGAAAGAATCAACGGCGGCACAGGGGACATCTTCAACCTGGCAGAAAGTTCATGCTGGCTCCAGGCTGGCTTTAGGCTTGGCTCCTGCCATTGCCTGTCCGACCCGTTTTGTGTCTGACATACAGAGCTCATAGTGTGGAGCCGCAGGAAGGGCCATGACTGACGCTGCAAATCAGGCAGCAGCTCACCCACTGGGCCCTTAGACTCTTCAACGTTTCTGCGTGCTTCCCTTTCGCGCGTTGCCCATGAAAACCCATCCACCCCGCACCTGCCCCAGTCCGGCTCCTTGATGCCCAATGAAAGATCAGGCTCCCTGCGCAAGGAGCTGTGAGCAAGTTGAAATCCAAAACAAGAGGAGTACTGTGATTATTTACCCGACCCAAGTGCCCACGTGCTGGAATCCTAGACTGAGTGCAACTGACAGGTCAGTTTGTGGCCTAGTTAGTCCTGCCTGCAACAAACTGAATGCAAGCCTTGTCAATTGCCTTACCAAACTTTACGCAGGCTTGTGGCTTGTGTCAAGAAATGTTCGGGATCCGCAGCAACTGATAGCCCCTCTGTTAGATCCACCTCTTGGTCATGTAAAATGTCCTTATCACGAAGTCCCACTTTCTTGCTACTGTCCCTGGCCAGGAAAAGATTGGTAAACCCCGTGTTGAGCCCAACAGGAATCAGTCGACCGCGGGCGCCTGTGCCAGGGCGCTGTCGGCGCCGGGTGAGAAACCGACTCTGGTCCCAAGACGCTGCGGTACAAGTGGCCTCGGAAGACAAGACCCAGCTGTTGGGGGTTCACATTCAGGCCCCAACAAAGGTGACCAGGTGACCAAGACTGTGGACGGGGGGAGCGCTGAGAGGAGGGTGTGAGCAGCTACTGCACATGGGTCCTCTCTACATCTTTGTGCAAAAGCTGCAGATCGCTTTGAGCACTTGAAACTCCCGCGGTCTGCTGCAAATAATGACCGCTCCAGAAGCAAGGAAAACGTGAGAAACAGGCAGGTGTTCATCTTCTTTCCTGGTCGACTTGACTTCTTACAGTGCAGAGCATGCTGAAAGGTAGCAAGTTTCTGACTTGTGGCACGTACACAAAGACATCAAACCAAATGAGAGAGTCAAGGGCAAGCAGGACGTGGCAACAGAGAATGTAAAACTCCCGAACTCCACAACAACTCAAACCACCCTAACAATGAATGATACGCTTAGGCCGCTTAGTGATGAACCTGCGCATTGCAAGGATTCCCACAGGCTTGCCTGTACAATTGTTTCACCACCAGAATTAGAACTTGCACCAGCCTCTTGCAAATGTTGGTTGTTTCGAGGGACAATGTGTGTATGTGTGTGCGTGTCTTTTTTAGGGGACCCCTCCAAAAGTGTGTGTTCCTTTAGGTTTCCCTTTCACATTTCCCCCCCCCAAAACCAAAAAGGGGTACCACCAAAAAACAACCCCATTCAGCAAACAAGGGGAAGGACACCGCATGCCTCCTACGGGCCAAACCCATAGAGGTCCAACAGGGTTACAACGTACAACTTGTGGCACTTTTGGAGTTTGTCCGGGAAAAAAATCTGGGGACACCTTGAGGCGCTGGGCAGCCCGGCGCAAGCGCTCCTCCTCCGCCGCCTCCTTCTGCCGCAGCTCTGAGCGCAGCGCCTCCAGCTCCCGGCCTCGGAGCGTCGCTGGCCGGGTGTTCGAAGAGTTCGGAAGAATCATTGGTGGCTGGTGCAAAAAGTAGGAGACGCGGAGACGAGAGAGTGAACCGAGTCCCCTTAAAGGAAACCACTAGTTGGATGGCTCGGAAGGGTCATTCCATGTCTCATTCCCTGCTTCTGGCACCAGCAAGATTAACTTTGGGCCACACGTTGAATGGCGTGAGCCAAGCGGACTCCTCTTCGATGCTACGCACAGTCTTTTGGCACAAGCTGAAACTCTCTGCTTGGAACCCGGCTCCGGTCCCCTAATTACGTACCCATATGTGAGTTCTGGAAGTGGGATGAGGAAGAAAGAGAGGAAACTTCTTTGAAAGGCGAAACGGAAAACGAGTGTGAACATTTTATCTGACCCGCCAATAGGTTGTCAAAATCATAGCCACCGCTTGTCCAAAAACATCGCTGGGAGTCCTTCCAAAATTATTGGTCCTGGCATCGATCTTGGGGCACAGAAGGAAACGAAACAGGGAGCCCGTGGCCTGGGGCAAACTAGAACTGCCTGGGGATGTAGTTCGTTGCCGTCAAATGATTTTGAGAAGCCTTTGGCTGGAAGAAAACAGTTGTGCACACATGTCACGTTGAACTGCTGCAAAGTGTCTATTGCTGCAGCGAACTTCATCAACGCGTGTGTTTTCCCCCAATAGCTGAAAGCTATGGGGTCTGTTCCAAAATAGGCTCCGGAGCGGTCCGGAGCAGCTTTAGGGTTCCGGTGGGTTCCAGAAGGTTTGCAGGCCTCTATGGAGAGGTTGAACACGCCTCTGTCATTCGAGCGTTTCCAGGGCTCCCCACCAATCCGATCCGAAATCAGCCGTCGCTCCTGCGCATGCCGAATAGCCAGGAGTACGCCAGCTCGAACCCTGGTGTGCCAGAACCAACAGAGAGCATGTCTGGGCTAACCGCTCGGCTCGGCCCCAGAAAGTCTTGCAGGAGATCTTTGACACATCTGCTTGACCGATGCAAGCCCTTTGACAAACCGCCTGCTCTTCTCGCGCATCACGGGCCAAGGTCTCCAGCCTCAATGTTCAAGGATCGGGCCGAGAACTTGTCCGCTTCGCCGTAGCAAAGCAGTTGCGGTATGTGGCTTCGCCATCTCACGTTTCTTTGGTTTCAATGTCTTGCAGTTGGTTCGGCAACATCTGGATGGCAAAGTGCAACGAAGACAGACGAGCAGGCAAGCAAGCCGACCAAAAGCTCGCTTCCAACACAAGTTTATTGAAGTATCACCTGTCCGGGAATATAACTAATATAACTGTGAGCATGATTTGGCGCATGGCAGACAGGGTGTCGGGCAATTGGGTCTATATTTGACCCAGTTGATGGCCGTAGAGCCAAGGCCTAAAAGAAACCAAAAAAAGAAGAGGCACAAAATTGGTGGGTCCAAAAAGGGATTTGGGTCTGTCATTTTTTAGAGGACTTCCCCTCGGCATTTAAGAAAAAAAGGTGGCTTTCCTTGTGGATGCCCTCTTCAACAGACCAAAGAAGGGGTGCCCTCAGAAAAACAGAAACATATGGCTGTGGCTCAATAAATGTACCAAAGTTGAACTTTGGTAATGGAACCAACGACCAAAATCTGCGTAACGCCTGGTTAATTTTGAGCCACACACATATCCCTATCAACACACTACTTCAAAGACTCCGGGGCCCCCTGCTGACCCTCGCAGCGGGCCGCCCGCAGCTTCGCCTCGCGGCGCAGCTGCTCCAGCTGCTGCTCCGCCTCGCTGGCCTCCTGCCGGAGAAAGATATGCGAGCGGTGTTGCTTCCCTTTCCCTTATTGAATGGAACCCTTCTGCGAATCTTCTGTGAATTTTCTGCGGAGCTTTCGCGGTGTGAAGGGCACTTTCGTCAGCATACGGCTAAAAGTAAGTGCCTTATTTCTGACAATTGCTAGAAGGTAGTTTCCGCGAGGGAGTTCGTGTGCACGATTTGCTAGTAAGCACACTGCGCTTGGCCAGAACACACTAAGCGAAATCAAACCACTACCCGGCTCTACAAGTGTGGCTCTAGAAACACGGCTCTACAAGCGCGCGCTTTTGCCAACTATCAAATATAGTGGCATGAATCCGGACGACCGTAGCACCCACAAGCGGCTCCCTAGTAGTTATAGACGAGAGTTCATAATATGTTGTTTTTTTTTGCATTTTGAAGCTCCCATCAAAGCAAACGCAACAACAAGCATCTGCAAAAAGAAATCAACCGCGAGCAAAGCCTTAGCTCTTTCGGCAAAATTGCAAACCGTACACAGGCGGCCTGTGACGTTACCAGCAACTAGAAGCAATGCCTTTGAAGCACTGCCTTTGAGCATTGCTGTGTCGTCAACTCCCTTGGCTTGTGACTGTCACACAATCAAGGAGAATGTGACTCAAACACAGGTGCCCTCAAAAAGACACACGATGGCCCATGTACATATATATATATATATTATACATATTTAATGTGCTTCGAATCAGAAATGCACATGTACGTCTTTGACAAGAGTTCATCAACCTACCGCCACGCAATGAGCAACCACAGGCAGCAATGGCCCAGGCTCTCCCGCGGATTGCTGACCCCAGATTCTGTTTGCCTTTGAATTCAGAAAGCTGCGTATCTCTTGCTTTGCACTCCTGATCTCAAGCTTGAACCGAACATACCATTCACAAACTGCACTCCTCCCTGCTGCGCTCCCAGTAGCTTGTGTTGCTGTGGAGCACCTCATGGCTCATATGACCCTCATTGTGGCACCCATCGCAACACATTGGGAGGCGGGCGGAGAGTCCCACCCGCTTCAACAGAGCCGCTTGACCTTGGAGGATGACCAAGCAAGCCCTGGCCAGCACCGCAAGCTGCGCAGTCGCACACTCTAAGTGGCGTGCCCTCCTCATCCCTAGCGGACTCAAGCATGCCGCAGCGCAATGGCTCTCTTGAGCCACATACAGCGACAAGCTTACATGACTCAAGCAAATATGCAAAATGCTGCAAAACTACGGATGGGGAACCAACAGGAACCAACCCGTCTGGAAACAAGCCTGACTCAAGCATTCATCCATACACCCGATCAAAAGGCACGTCAGGTCAGCTTTTCGCTCGACTCAGCCAGGCGAGCTCGGCACTTCAGCAGGGCCAAGATGAATCCGAGCCTGAGAACCGCGCGGGGCTGATCGCAGCGCCCTAACCCTTAGCTGGAGGGCTTGTTTTCAACTCCTGGTTTGAGCAGCTTGCAAAGACCATTCTTGCTGGAACCTGGCATTCTGGCGCTTTCAGTCGTTTAAGCTCGGGACACGAACACTTGGCCTCAGCTTCAACAGTTCAGAGCAACATCTATGTCACCTTGTGGCTTGCACTCTTTCAAACCCATCCCGAAAAAGAAGGCCCTCAGAGTTTCCTCTCGCAATCCAATCACACGTCCTGTTGACCCATGGACCCGTGGCAGAGGTGCCGAGCCGCTGAGCGTGGCCATGGCGCCATCTTTGGAACGCCCGCGGAAGAGCTCTGCCTTTGGCCAGCTGAAAATCCCAATCCCGAGTCATTTGACCCAAGTGCTGAGACCAACACGTGAAAAAATGCAAACCACACGTCCTCAAGCTCGCCGCTGGCCTTCGGCACGTATTTCACCCCCATGCCCTCAGGCAAGCCATACGAATGGACACCTTGGCTCATGTTCCTGGACCAGGATTCATCAAGTAAGACCAAAACTGCTAAGGCACTCTCTCCAATCCAAGCTTTGCTAATCCATAGGTCTCTCCAAGTCTTTTGCCAAGTCACCAGGGAGCTCTGCTAGGCCTCAGCAACGTGCGTTCTCCGTGTGAATGTCCTTGAACACCTTCCATAATCTGCGTTCTGGAACATATGGCCATGGGTCAAAACCCTGTACCCCCAGTGAACGTCCCAATCCCCACTGAAATAGACTAAAATGGGTGGTGCACCTACCCCATTGGTTTTGACCCACAGCCATATTGTTTCTCAGAATGCAGAAACATGTCTGTCTACGAGTGCAAGTCCGACACAGATTTACACACACGTGAAGATGATTGTTAGTTGGAAATGCCGAATCTTCACGACATGGCATGCATCGTTGAGTTTGCAAGTGCTGCAGTGTGTACAGAAAAAGTCAGCAGCCAAGCCTGTGTGAATCATGGAAGAAGCCATTATTGTAGCGTGATGACAGACTGAAGGACAACCACAACAACGACAGCAGCCGTGGCAGCAGTAGCCAAAAGCAAGCGGCAAGCACAAAACAAGAAAATGAAAAGGACAAGAGCAAGAAGCAAAAGAAAGCCCCAGTCGTGTGATTCCCTACTGCCACGCATCAAATCACGACTCGTCCCCAAAAGGCCGAGTGTCTTGACACTCATCAAAAAGCGACCAAAAGGAGGCCAAGCTTTTGGAGGCAATCTAGAACCGAATCAAGAGACCAACAGGAGGTGCTTGTCAAACACCCCCCACAACATCTACCAGAACTTGCCCTGCTCAACCTCATACTGCAGGAAATATGAGCCTTGTCAGCTGTTGAGCAAGCAGCATGAAACTGTCAGGTTGGCTAGCACAGGCTCAAACAGCTAAATCGCCCTCCGCTGTTTCGGCACACTCAGCTGCTAGCCACCATCTGCGACTTCCGCAACTTCACGCAGCGACCCGTCCGCAGATATGACCATGGTCCTGCTTGAGTCAAAGAAAACTCATCAAAACGGTGAAACAAACTACACTGCCCATCAGCTCACGCGTGCAAAGCTTGGCATTTGCTGACTGCGTCGTGGTTTGCCTTGGGCGAAGCGGTCCTTGTCTTGCCTGCTGTCATCCAAAGCTCTCCTGGCGGGCGATATGTCTTGCAGGACATCAGCTGGAGATCAGCGCCCGGCGCCTAGAACCAGGAGTCGCGCCATGGGCATGGATCTCCGGTCAAAACAAGCAATTTGTCACAGCTTTGATTGGAAAACCACAGAAAAACGCTGCAGGGTACTTATCTCCATGCAAAGACCTGCGCATACTAAACCATGAGGAAAGCGATTCTGGAAGGTTCTTGGATTAACTTAAACATACATGGGCCATGCCGAAATACGCTGATCAGAGCGCGCTGCCTGCCAGCCTGAGGGATGTCATTTCGGCCACAGCAAATTTGCCACCGGCGCAAGCACATGTAGGCCACAGTGGAATGTGAGGTACGTGCTCAGCATTGGATGACCCCACTGGCGCCCACTGCTTTCTCAGAGGCCATGCAGGCAAGGCGAAAATACCGTTGGAAGCCTCGGAGCCACTTTGTACAGCGACCTGCCACTGCTTCATGGCGGTCAAGTTTTGGCTCCGGGCGGTACGTTTACTTCGGGGATGGGCCACTCGTGGGCAACTCGTCACCCGACGTGCGAGCCCCTGAGCACGTTCTGCGGATCCAGGGCGGCCTTCAGACTCTTCAGCGCCGTCAGACCTCGCGAAGGGAGGCGGGCGGTCACCCTAAAGAACCTGGAGTTCTTCTCTAAACACGTGGAGTGCCAAAGATCCGTTCCGATGTCGTTCACTCAGACTCCTTCCTATTTTGAGGCATCCTCCCATCCTAAGCTGCCGTTGACGGGGCATTCAAGCAGTCAAAGAGTGCGCAACTTTCGCAACGTCGACTTGCCGAGTTCTCGAGTGGTTGCAGCGTCCCTCACGGCAATTGAAGCATGCTCGGTTCGCGTGTTGAGTCTAGCGCAAGGGCAAACATTTGGAAAAGAAAAGCTATTCGAGTATGTTCAATTGCCTGATCCGCCCACGAAGAAAGTTCCGATCCAGTGGGTGATGGAGCCCGAAGTGTGGTCCGAGAAGCAACAAAAAAAACACAGCCAGATTGGGTCCTTTAACTCTCAAAATCCTGAAGTAATAAATCAGGCCTTTGATCGTAATAAATCATCAAGGTGGCTTAATCATTTCAGATAACAATGTGATGCTCGGAATAATCGATCTTCCAGCAGGTAGCACACATAGTTACATAATATCATTCCATGTCCCAAATATCGTTGCTAAAGAAGGAAGTGAGTTCGTCCCGCGTAGCTTGTTGGAGAACTAAGCGTTCGAAAATAATAATCATCACCATACTCAATGTGTTTTCAAAAATAAATCCCGTTGTCTTCTTCAAGCCTACATCTTTGAACTCGCACATTGACATGTTCTCCCAAGCCGGAGACCCACTCGGGGAGTGGGTCCACCCCCCCCACTCGCGGGCCTGGCGTCCCTTGGCGCCCACCCACGGCTTTGGACGCAGCCGCGCGCAGCCGCCGAAAAGCACTCAGCGCCGCCGCAGGGGCCAGGCCTCTCGAAGGGCCTTTTCTAGAACGGTGACACAAAAGCCCGTTTCATATCCCCGGATCTCAGATAAACTTTGGTGGATCGCCAAGGGGGCCCTCCACCAGAGAGGCTAGCTTTCAGAGGTGCAAGGGCTTATTCTGGAGTTCGAGGGTCTTTGGTGATTTAACTCCAAGCGTGCTCAGAAATTCCCCACATTGTCATGACATGACAAAGAGCTCCTGCCCTGCTTGCGCTTGTCAGCTTGTCCTTGCTACACAGCTGATGACCGTAACCTAACCCAAATCAACTTTACCATGATGCACTGTGCTTGAAGAGCAGCAACACAAAATTGGCATCTTGATTCAAGAGGGACGCCCCTTGACCTCCAAGCCCTCAGCCTTCCACGCTGGTCTTCAGGCAAATGCGCAGAAGGGCACCCTCCGAATGCCCCAAGCCTGGGCTTGAAGATATGGCAATGGTGCGTGACGTCAAAAGGGAGCCTTCCGTGTTTCGATCCGAAGCCAAACGGATCTCTAGCTTTGACGCATACAAAGGCGGCTCTCTGCAGGTATATATGAGAATGCTCTCAGCTTGCCACTCACTGGCTACTCAGCGGCATCCAAGCAGCAGCACGACAGAAAGGGCCGGCCGGGTAGGTGCAAAGCTTGATGCTCTGCGACAACGGCCTCGGGCTGAGCCGACGAACACTGAGACCCAAGGACCCTCAGCTGACAAACCGCACGCAGAACCCGCCAAATTCTTGGGCAAACATTTAACCAAAAAAAAAACGATTAGATCCACAGCACCCGCTGCTTTCAAGCACTCACCCTTGGCGCCTGGATCAGCGCCGGCCACAGGCTGCAGACATGGCTCCAGGGCACTACGGCCTCCAAAGTCTCCGAAAGGATGCTGAAGTCGACACCTGCAGCGCAGGCACAGCCTGCAAGGGGTCATTTAACCTTATGCTAATCCGTTGATTCGGGCCCAGTGGCAGGCATCTGCCAGCTGGGGCATGGCCAAGATCATCTGGTAGCAAGACTCCCCCAAAGCGGCGCCAGTGAAACGGCCGTGACAGGAAGCCACCAATTGCTTCCTCGGGACAAAGTCACGTCTCGCTCCAAGCCTCCGATTGGACGCAGACAGGCCTTGCATGGGTTTGCCAAGTACGAACATCGACTTCCAACTAGATCCAAAACTTGCGTAGATCCAACCTCAACCTGGTCTGCGACAGCCGTTTTCCCGGATCTGCCAATCTGTGGTGTCCTTGAAATATATCAAACAGCCAAAATAGAGCTCTTACTTGCGTTAGGGGTTCTCGATTAACATGGCATCACTCATGACCGCCTTCCTGTTGGAATGTGTGCCGATCTTGAAGGCACCTCACATGAACTGTTAAAATCTCCAGACACAACTGCATGTGTCTCAAAAGCAGTGGCGTTCCAAACTCTTTCTCTCTGGTATTGTCTTCAAGCGGACCAACATGTAGTCCCCTCTCAAGCGACACGTGACACCGAAACGGGCCCAAAAACAAAGAAGGCGGCTGTCAATGCTGCTGAGGCACAGCTCTCGGCGCTGGGCAGCCTAGACGGATCCGATGCACCCTATCCCAAAAGCACCCAGATATTCTTTTTTGCCCGGCCCATCTAAGACCAAGCCTCACGGAAAGTGCAATTTATCATTCACAACAGTTGGCACAAAGTGCATGGCACACTATTGAGCAGATTTGGCAGTACCACACCACTGTTGCAGAGAACATGTTACCTCCGTTGCTGTGCGATTTGGTGCGCGGCGAGGAGCATGCTTTGGTAGGCATTTCGGTGCATTTTGGTGCCCGCTTTGATGCGTGTTGGTGAGTCACATTTCAGAGCTAGCCTTGAACAGATCGAACGAGCCAGAACCAGCTCTCCCCCCAAAAGAGACACGTGGTGACCGAGTCTTGGCAAATAGAAGCTTGGTAAATGCCCGTGCCCCGGTGCCCCTGCGGAATGAGGTTGAAAAAGGGAGCCGAAAGGGAACCAGAGACCTCTGTCCCGCTGCGATCGTTCCCCATATCGCTTCTCAGCGGCGGTTTCCTCACAGGAGCCTTCCAGGACCAAAGCAGCTGCGGGATGCCTCAGCTGCTTGGACCGCAGGCCGGCGCATTTAAAAACGTCACGCCACAAAAGATAAGCAGGTGTCATTGCCTTAAATGAACGTTAGTCTGCCCTAGTCTGATTCTGTGTGAGAATCAGTCTTGTTTTCGGCTGGGCTGGTTCAGGGGTGCGATTTGCACATGCCTCGAGAAAAGCAACATCAGACCAAACAACACGAAGAAGACATGTCTGCAAGGGCTGTTCAATTGTCTGGCTGCGCATTCACAAACAGCGCTCCAAGTGTCTGATATCCTGAATGGTGCTTCCCTTTCAAGACCACCCGCCAAAGGGTTGTGTTTATGAGGGAGCCTTTGCTGAACGTGATTGGCGTGAGGATCTATGTCCACCAGCTGTCTCCAAAGCCCTTCAAATCCACAGCCACAAGGTCTCAGGCAAGGCTCTGCGGGAAGTGGCACTCCTGAAGCCGAGTTTGCCAAGGCGAGTTTGCCAAACGGACTCTCCAAATGGAACTCGAAAAAAGGCCGTTTCCGTGCCAAAGCAATACCAAGAAGAGCCGGGCTCTTCTGAAGAGCCCGAAATAAAGCAGAAGAGTACCATGAAAAACCAGGTAGTTCTATGTGTTTTGTGCCTCGAGCTTGCCGACATTGATTACCTCAGTTTTGGGAAGGGCTCGGAATTGCATCAGAAAATATTGCGCGGGCTCGGCCACTTGTTGCACGGCTTTGACCAATTGAGGGATCAAGGCCCGTCCTTTCAATTCCCCATGATTCATCAGTCCTCCGCCCAAGCTTCCATCAGATCCAGCTGCTTGCCATCCATCAATCCTCCAAGCAAGTGAGGAATCCAAGCTACAGCAATATGAGCGACTGCCGCAAATTGAACCGCATGAAGTCATTGTCTGTTGCACATGCCGACTGGCTGGAACCCTCAAGAGTCTGTGCGGTTGGGAGTGTCTTCATCTCCAGCGTGTGAAACTCACGGCACGCAATGCAGCTTCGACTCGGCAAAATGAGGGCCGCAAAGCTTGGGGCAGTTGTGAGATCGCTCGCACAAAGCTCACCTGACGCACTGACTGCCATGCATCTTACCTATGCAAAGTCAGCTGCCATACCTGCTTGCTTAGTCAGAACAAACATTCAGATCGGGCTGGCAAGGTGCCCCTGCCGCCCAGTCGTCGAAGGCCACGCTCTCGTATTCCACTTGCTCCGGCAACGGATGGATTCGGACGACAGCTGCCTTAGCAATTCCAACATCAGGATGAAGCGGAGCCAGCAAGAAAAGATCAGCTGCATCTGTGTGGCCAAGAGCGAGAGCACTGGCAAAAGAAAGGGCAAGGACAAAAACAAACAAGGCAAAGAAAGGCTAAGGCAACTGTGCGTACCGCAACAAATCAGTGGCGAAAGCTTTAGACACCACATTTACTCTTGATCTTTGATTGTCCACGACAGACTCAAAACCTCACACTCATCCCATACGGCTCAAGGGATCCAAACCAAGCCCCATCATGACGAGGCGCGGTGATGACACCGAGACATCCCTGGCTTCCCAGGATGAGGCCTGGTCTCGATGCTCTGAACTTGGCACCCCTAAAGCCATTTGTGCCAACCAATGCGATGGGCAAAAAGGTCCAAGAGCCCAAGGCATCCCAATGCTTTCCATGGTCCTTACCTTGACCCCCTCACCACCCCCTCTGCCATGCACGCCTGACAACCCGCCTCCCTCCTCCCAGGCCTGGCAAATTCAGGCCCGTGGATCGGCGTCCGAATGCCAGATCCTCTCGGCTCCCTCTTCCACCTTTCTGCCACACGAGGCCCGAGGAGGTGGCTACGCGGACCTGGCCATTCGAGGAAAATGGCAGTTGCCACAGGACATCAGGATACGAGGCCACCTGATTTGCGCGTTTAAAGGCTTGTTGGCGCAGCTTCTATTGCCACGCTTGAGTCCTGTAAAAAAAGGGGCTCCGGAATTCGCCATCGGGCTCCCCCCGGTGCATCCGCACCGTTAGTAGCGGGTTATTTACCGGCCTATGTTACAAAAGCTCCCCTTCTTGTCCAGGTTCTTCCGCTCATAGTACCTGGCCCTCATCGTCTTCATGCTCCATCCTCTTCCAGCAGTGTCGTGCTGGAATTGATTCCACTCGGTGTTGCACACCTTCTTCTCCTTGGAGATGCGTCCGCGCAATGCCCCTGCCTCCGCATTGCCATCCACCTCCATGGACCCGACATGGGCTCCATCGCTGCTTCCCGCTGCACCACTTCCTGATCCAGCCGATTCCATGCTTCCCGCGGCACCAGAAACCTTTTCAAGCCCCTGGCTCTGCTTCCACCTCCATGCCCACTGATCCTCGACCTCGTCGATCTCTTTTCTTGCCGGCTTCACCCCAGAGTCGTCCTGGTCAACTCGCGGCTCCACCCACAATTTCTTCATGACGCTGCTGGCAGCTTTGACCGTCCACCTTGCCACTACCGCAGCTCCAATTGCCATCAAAATGCCTCCCAGCACCATGATCATATCGATCGTCTCCATGCCCGAGACCTCCGCTCCAGCTCTGGCTCCTTCAGCCTTTGCCACAAGGCTTGCGCCAATCGCCATCATGATCCTAGCCTGAGCTTCACCTAACTTGGGAGGGCAGCCCGATGGGCAGTGGTTCTTATCCAAAACAGCTGCGGTCCCGCGGCCATCCTCCAGGGTTGAGTCCGGTTCGTCTGCCCTGGACTTCTTTGTGGGCGGTTCATTTTCCCTGCCCAATCTTCTCAGGTCCTTTTTCCTGGCTTCCTCACCGTCAGGCCTTCCTACTGTCGCTGGTTCATCTCCCCTAGCGATCTTCCTTCCTACTGTCGCTGGTTCATCTTCCCTAGCGTGGTTCATCTTCCCTAGCGATCTTGATCCCTTGCTTGTGCCCTTCGGCGGCCCAGTGGCTCTTTTTGTTTGCCCAATGGCCTTGCTTCACCATACCAAGCTCAACCAGAAAGCTACCAAAGGCCTGACCTAACAAAAGCTTGGTGAAACCGTCAGCAACCAACTGTACACCCGGCATGCGCTCCAACACCCACTCACCCTCCTCCAAGGCCCATCTCAAAGCCGACGCCCTGATACGAAGGTGTCGCGTCCTCCAATTCCCTGCTCCGTTGGACGCCAGGCTGATCGCCGCCATGTTGTCCCCATACATCCTTTTGTGCTCAACTTTCTCGCCGGTGACGGCCTCCGCGAGCGACACCAAAGCTCTGCCCACCGTCAGCGCCTCACAATATCCAATCAGCTCACCCTCCGCTGTACTCTGTGCAACAAAAGGCTGCCTCACCGCCTCCCAGCAGATTGGAGCTCCCTCCACAAAACCAACGATGCCCTGCACGCTTTTGTCCTCCCCGCCCGAAGCGTAGGAGATGTCCGCGAAAACCTCCACCATGTTCACTCGCCTCTTCATGCCAAGGCCTTCTCTCGACGCCCATCCTCCAACCGGTCCATAGTTCAGGCGCCGACCAGCGGTCGCCTTGACATACCTCAGCACGTCCTTGCCCAGGTCGACGACCTCCACGCCTTTCTTCGTCCATCTCGACATGGCCGCAACTGCCACCGCAATGTCCGGTCTCGTCTTCGAAGCCAACCACAGCAACGCACCCGTTATCGCCTGGGCCTCTCTGATCTCTTCCAGGGCGCCATCCTTGCTATCCTCGTCCCATTTGGCCACCAGGTCCTCCGCGAACGCCTTCTGGTTAACCAGATAGCCCTCATCCTTCTTGTAGACCTCAAAGCCACAGAACCTCATGGGCACTTCAGCCGTTGCCCATTCCGCCGGGGACAACTTCCAATCTCCATCATCCATCCTTGCTCTGGCCGCCTCAATGACCTCGTCCTTGCCGGCCAGCATCACGTAGATGGACATCAGTCCTTGCACTACCCCGGTCTCGGCCTCAATGATCCTCCATAGATTCGGCTCCTCTGTCTCCAGGAATTTCATCCTCTTTCCATCTCCTTCCCACTCCATCTTGCGGATCTCGACGTCCCGGTGTACACTCCAGTCTCTAGCACTTGTGGTTAGTCCATAGACCGCCTTGTCGACGACCCACATCTCATCCCTTTGGGCAATGCCCAGCTCCTTGAACACCGACGGAACTTTCATCACAATCGTCCTGCCATCATCTCTTCGCGGAGCGTTGAGGAATGCTGCGCGGATGTCCGTGCACAAAAGGCTCCATCCTCGCTGTCCCGCAGTTCTCAGCACCATCCGGATTTGCAATCCGTCTGCCTCCCGCGTACAGCTTCTCCGCATTCTTGCCGGCTGAATAGTTACCGCACACCACTCCTCTGACCTTTCGGCGCCCATCCGGCGCTTTCCTGGCGCACACAGCCGGAAGAACTTCGACAGGACCTTGAATCTGATCGATGTCCCTCTTCCTGATCGGCTTGACCGCTTTGCTTTCCTCCACCAATGCCGTATATTCCTTCTTCGCTGCCACCTTCCATTCTTCTAGTTCACTCCTCACTTCGCCCATAGACACCGTCTTCGTCACGAGCCACTCCTCTTCTGCTTTTGCTGCGCCCTCCACCTGCATCCGGTTCAGCGCCGCTTCAATGTGGCTCCTCCGTTGAAGCCCTTCTCGCAATACTCCAAGCCACATTTCTTGATCTTCTCCTTTTGCATCTAAAATCTCGAGTTCTTCCTTAACCCATTGAGTAGCATGTTGGTGCCATTTTTCAAAGTGGGCCTGATCTTCCACCTTCTCCCCCTCGACGACCATTGTCGACATAGCCGTTTTTCCCGCAGTCGCCTCCTTGGCCTTTCTGCTCTCGGCATCAAGAGGTCTGCTCCTACTCGTTCTTCCAGCACCACCTCCTCTCCCGGGTCGATGATCATCTTTTCAGGCTCCTTGAGCGCATCTGTGGCGGCGAAACGCCGTCCATCTTTGCAGCTCCTCACCGAATAGCCACCTGATGTTGTTGACATCACTGCATCTGGGCCCATAATCTTGACCCGTTCGCGGTCAAACCGCCAATCCTGGCCTTTTTCGTTCCAACTCTTCTTCTTCACATAAGCGATCGTCCCCCACGGCAGCATTTCCTTCACAGGCAAGCCAACCGCGTGCAATTGCCTCCGGAGGCATCTCTCTCCAGCACGCCTCAACGCCATCGGCCACAAGGTAGCTGGTTCTCCGCCCGCCTTCAGCAATGTTCTCGTCCCCCTTTTTAGGACCCCGATCTCTGCCTCCACCCTTCCATTTTCCTTGAAGGCGTCCCCCGGAACCGTGGTCTTCACAATGTTCCTGTCCAGCGCCCAGCGTTTCAACTGCGCTCCCATCAGTTCTCGGGCTCGGTCCGTGTGCAACCTGTAGACCGGCAGACCCATCTCCCTGAGCCTTGCGTAGATCCTCGCGATCGCCGGAATGACATCCGACGCCTGTCTCGATGTGATCGGCTCCACAAACGTCAAGTTGGTGACCCCCACATCCTGCATCTCCTCTACCATCTTCTCCCAGATGTCCCCCGCCTTGATCTCTTTCTCGACCTCTTCTTCGGGCATCTGCTCCCTCTCATCTTTTTCTTCTGGCAGATCTACTTCTACTTCTTCCAGATCTCCGGCTTCAGGTTCTGCTTCTTCTTGAGGTTCCGCAAGTAGAGATCTTCCTTTTCCATCCACCGGATAGGTGTACACCGCTGCCACGAAGTACTTCGCCTGGCATCTCTGCTCCTTTCCAGCTGCCAACTTTCCAGACAGATCCACGGCCAAGGTGTACGCCTGTGGATGTTGAATCCTCCGATGTGCTCGGCCTCTTCCTTGGCTCTCCACACAGACCCGACAATCTCGCCGTGATGGTTGATGATCGCACGCGAAATGCTTTTTCCACTGCTCCATCGCCGCCGCACTTAGAGGCCGAAGAGGTCGAACCACACCCAGCCCTTCTTTCTCATGATTGCGCAGCGCCTCTTTGAAGGCTTGCACCAACCCCGGTGCCCACGCCGACCATCTCTTGGTTTGAGCGATCCGCTCCTGCAGGTTCTCTGACCATGCTTCTCCGCCTTGACCAGGTCCTGCAACCTCCCCCAATCCCCGCATCTGTTCCAGGTTCGTGGCTATTTCTTCGTTCGTGCCCTAGCGGTCCTTGATCAAAGTGGATCATCTCCAACTCGTACCGCTTGGCACATGCCTTCCACGCCCGGAATCGCCAGACGCTGACCAGCTTCTCCTTCGGAATGTCCACCCTGTAGTCTCCAGGGTCCCGACTCCAGGGTCCCGAGGCTGTTCTTGCCCATACGCCACCGCGGGGAGTTTCGTCTTCTCGCGGTCTCCTCTGCCACGATGTACAACGTCATCATTCTCAACCAAAGCACGGAGCCCCCTTCTACCATTTCCTTCTTGGAATTTGTGAGATCCGCGAATTCGTAGGCGACGTTCTTCTCTCCTCACCGGTCTGGGACCTGGCGATCTTGATCTGCAAGCAGACACAGTGCGACAGGGCGGACCCCCGCACCCATCGGTACTATGACCTGCGCGCCCTTCTCCGCCGGCAGCGTTAGCGTTCCCGGCTTGCTTCGCATCTTGGCGCTCGAACCATCTGCCAAGTGTACACCCACCACCTCGGCTTTGTTCCATTCCTCTTGGCTCTTTCCCGGGCGAAGCGCGTGTTGCGCGTGTTGCGCCTCCGTCCAGAAGGCCCATTCCACTCCCTTCTTTCCCGACTTGGTTCATCACAATCACCGCATTCATCGACGGCATTCGCAATGAACAAAGAAGACTTGTTGCTTCAGCCAGAAGCTCCCCCGTTCCGCTACCTGCACCCCCTGCCGTAGATCCGCCACCTGTAGTACCCGTCGCAGACGAGGTACTCTTGTACAGCCATGCTACTGTCACCTCCTTTCCAAGGCGATTTTTCGGCGCCTGCACCCGCACCTTCACCTCCCCCCGAGCTGCTCCCCAGCTCGCACTTCGCGGCCTTCACTGCCGGCTTTGGCGTTGGCTTTCCCCCAAAATGTGGATTCCCTGCCTTCACCGCGCAGTCCGCCTTCCTGTGGGTTTTTGCCCCACAGTTCCAACATCTCGTCGCCTTGTCCGTGACCCCTTCCCAATCGTGAGGCCACTTGCAGTTCTTCCCAGCTCTGCACCCATTGTCGGAGATGAAATTGATCACCTCCTTCTTTACTGATGCCGGTCCTTCCGGCTCGCTCGCTTCTACCCTGCATTGCCTTGACCTTGGGCTGCGCCGCCCCTTCTGTCACCATCAACTTGGCTGTACCCATCTCCGCCAACAACAGCTCGGAATAGCTCCAGATACCAAGGGCTGTCGGCGCCGTATCCAAACCCAACTGCGACCTCGCCTGAGCCACCCTGAACGCCTGCGTTCCTCCTTTGTTCACCAGTTGAACGACTCGTTCAAGTGCTACTGATCGCAAAAAAAAGTCGGGTCCGGAAGCGTGGCCCCAATCTCCTGCGCTCTCAAGTAGTTTCGCCACTCCCGCAAGGCTGTTCATGGCTGCCAGATCCGTGAGCTTCCGCAGAATAAGGGCCCTCTCCCCCGGTCGTCCAGGCTGGTAGGTGACCAGGAGTCTATATAGCACCCCAGTCGTGATTTCCCTTGCCGAGATGAGCTCTTTTCGGATCTCCTCCGGCACCGCCTTCAAGAGAAGCGTCACACCTCTCTGCGCCGTCCTGACGAACCTTGGAGTTTTCAGCCGGTCCGGCACGTTGACAGTGATCTGAAGCCTTTCCAACGGCGTTGATTTCAACCAGACCTCATAGAGCTGCTTTGCTTGTCCCATAGTTCCGGCCCACCACTCAGCAGCTCCTTGAGAAAGATCACTCATTTGTGGTCCCACTTGCGCTAGCCAATCTCCCAGCGTCAGCGGGGAATGAACATATACCAGCTCCGGCAGCTCTACCTTTCCACCAGCGCCTCCTGATTCAATCTGCTCCACCGCGACCTTCTGTTCCTCCTTCTCCCAACCACTTTTCCAGTCCTGCCACGGCTGCCATGTAGAAGTAGGATTCCACCTTGCCCTCCACCAATGATCGTAGTCCTCATCTTCCCAACGAGGTTGCCACTCATCTTCCTTGGACTGAGGGTATTCATCACAAGGTGGATTTCCTTCCGGCACCCTTGTACCCCCAGGCGTCTGCCGCTCTCTGCAGTGGGTTGGCGATCTTGACCTAGGCCTCGACACAGGCACACCTCCCGATCGATCTCTCGCCCGTGGAGGTGGTGGCGGCGGTGGTGGAGCCGTTGGTGTTGCAAACACTTCATCCGCCGGCGTCTCAAACACCGCCACTTGTCTTCCCGCCTGATCTTTCCAGAACCCCGCCGCCTCTTGCCACTCCCATTTGTCTTTCCTCAGATCATTGATGATGCCGAACAGGTACTTCCGCTGCTGCTCCAGTCCTCTGATTTTCCGGCAGGCCTTCATGAAGTTCTTTTCCATCTCGTGGGCCAAGTCCATCTCTCCGATCAGCTCATCATCTTCTTCTCTTTTTGGTACTTCCGGCACCCACACCTTGCGCTCGTCCATCCAAACTCAGTCCAGGCTCAGGGGCTCCAACTTTCCCGAGCCTGCCGTCGGCTCCTTCCTTTTTCTCATGCCTTGGTTTCTTGTCTTCCCACACGCCTCTTCCCATAGGCGTTGATCTCTGCGATCATTTTCATATTCATATTCTTCCGGGGCTCTTTCCAACTCCATTTCCAGATCCCGCCTGACCTCGCTAAGGAACCTTTCAGTCCTTGTCCTGCTTCCCGCAGCGTCCGGATGGGCACCAATCTCCTCACGACCATGCCCTGCAAGATCCCCTTCATGAAGATCACCAGCCGCTTCTCAAGCGTCTTCCATGTTCTCCTTCTGCGGGCTCACGGAGTCCGGGATCTGGGGCAGCCCCTCCGGCCTCATTGCCCTCCTGCTCGTACCGGTGGGTCCTCCGCCGAGACCTCAAGGTCGCCCTCCTGCTCGGCCACCATGACCCCCGGGCCCATGGAGCGTGACCTTCTCCTCCTCATCCCTGCGTCCATGTCTGACCGCACCGAGGAGCTATTGCTATTTTGGGCTCATAACCCTTGTTAGCGCAGCTTCTTTTGCCACGCTTGAGTCCTGCAAAAAAGGGGCTCCGGAATTCGCCATCGGGAAAGGGAAACCAAGGGGCAACCTTGGGAGTCCCCTTCTTTTGACACACACCGACTTGCAGCAGCATGTAAACCCGAGCGAGCCTCGACTAACATGTCCTCGATGTTGCCTGACAGAAAGTCTTTCGAAGGAACACCCCCAAAGGCAGTGGCTGCTTGGTTGCTCAGCTGCTACAGTTCCAGTCCCAGCTTTTTGATGACCAAGCATTACATCAGTCACATTGCCTGAGGTATTTGGTCCTAAAACATCAGCCAAAATGTTTGGCTGGGATGCATGCATGCATGCATGCTTGCATGCAAGTGTGCATGTATTTATGTATGTATGTATGCATGCATGTATGTATGTATGTAATGTAATGTAATGTAGTGTAGTGTAATGTAATGTAATGTAATGCAATGTAATGTATGTATGATGTATGTATGTACGCATGTATGTACATATGTATGCCTGCCTGCCTCCCTTTGTATATGTGTATGAACGCATATGTATGTAATGTGTGTAATGTGTGTAATGTATATAATGTATGTAATGTATGTAATGTATGTAATGTATGTAATGTATGTAATGTATGTAATGTGTGTAATGTATATAATGTATGCAATGTATGCAATGTATGCAATGTATGTAGTGTATGTAGTGTATGAAGTGTATGTAATGTATGCGATGTATGTAGTGTATGTAGTGTATCAAATGAATGAAATGTATGTAGTGTTTGTATGTATGCATGTATGTATGTAAGTATGAATGTGTGTATGTATGTATGTATGTATGTATGTATGTATGTATGTATGTATGTATGTGAGTATGTATGTATGTGTGTGTGTGTGCGTGTATGTATGTATGTATATATGTATGTATGTATGTATGTATGTGTGTGTACGCGTGTATGTGTGTATGTATGCATGCATGCATACATACATGCATGCATGCATTTATGTATGTATGTATGTGTTTATGTGTGTATGTATGTATGTATGTGTGCATGCATGCATGCATGCATTCGTGCGTGCGTACGTGCGTGTATGTGTGTATGTATGTATGTATGTATGTGTGTGTGTGTGTATGCATGTATGTATGTATGTATGTATGTATGTATGTATGTATGTATGTATGTATGTATGTATGTATTTGTGCATGCATGTATGTATATACGTATGTATGTGTGTATGTATGTATGTATGTATGTATGTATGTATGTACGTATGTATGTATGTATGTATGTGTGTGTGTACGTACGTACGTACGTAGGTATGTATGTATGTGTGTATGTGTGTATGTATGTATGTATGTATGTATGTATGTATGTATGTATGTATGTATGTATGTATTCATGCGTGCATATGCATGTGTATGTAGGTATGCATGCATGCATGCATGCAAGTATGTATGTATGTATGTATGTATGTATGTATGTATGTATGTATGTATGTATGTATGTATGTATGTATGTATGTATGTATGTATGTATGTATGTATGTATGTATGTATGGTATGTATGTATGTATGTATGTATGTATGTATGTATGTATGTATGTATGTATGTATGTATGTATGTATGTATGTATGTATGTATGTATGTATGTATGTATGTATGTATGTATGTATGTATGTATGTATGTATGTATGTATGTATGTATGTATGTATGTATGTATGTATGTATGTATGTATGTATGTATGTATGTATGTATGTATGTATGTATGTATGTATGTATGTATGTATGTATGTATGTATGTATGTATGTATGTATGTATGTATGTATGTATGTATGTATGTATGTATGTATGTATGTATGTATGTGTGTGTGTATGTATTTATGTATGTATGTATGCATTTATGTGTGTGTATGTATGTATGTATGCATGCATGCATGCATGCATGCATGCATGTTTGTATGTATGTATGTGTATGTGTGTATGTATGTGTGTGTGTGTATGTGTATGTGTGTATGTATGTATTTATGTATGTATGTATGCATTTATGTGTGTGTATGTATGTATGCGTGCGTGCGCGCGTGCATGCATGCATGCATGCATGCATGCATGCTTGTATGTGTGTATGCGTATATGTGTATGTATGTGTGTGTGTGTATGTGTGTGTATGTATGTATGCATGCATGCATGCATGCATGCATGCATGCATGCATCATGTATTTATGTATGTATGTATGTATGTATGTATGTATGTATGTATGTATGTATGTATGTATGTATGTATGTGTGCAGTCCCTGCAAAACATTTGCTGTGCGTTGTCCATGTTTTTGTTGTTCTTTTGCCTGCGTCTGACGTGTTCAAAACAACATCAGCTGGTCGGACCTGCAAGGCGAAAACTATGATTTGAATTCTGCATGACTTCTGCATCAAGCTCACAACATGCGTGTGTGTGCCATGTTCCATGGTCTCATGGGAAGTCATCATGATCCGCTTTCATTGTTAGATGAAAGTTCGTGCAAACCCTTAAGTGATTCCTGATATGTCTTTCTTTTGGGCTTCGGTTTCACCGGCCAGGGCGCCGTAGCGTGCTTCCTTCATGCTCCTGGCGCGTGTAGCCAGCCAGCCGCCCAACGTCGTAAGCTCTGACTCAGTCTCCATGCCCAACGCCATTCCTTCTCCTAGCACGCAAACGGAAACCAAAGCAGTGCTGCTTTGCATCGCAAAGTCATCCACCCTGTCTCGGAGAAAACTCAAAAACAAACACGACTTTTGCTGCAGTTTTGTCGAGACAGGCGCTGGTCTGGACAGTTCTGGTCACTGTTGCTTCCAAGCATCCATTCGCATACTACTCTGCGCACCCTTTTGGCCCGAGGCCTAGCATCCTCGTACCATTAACTGCCCACAGGAATATAAAAAAACTTGCCTTGCTTGGGCTGCTTCAGCCTTTAAACTTTTCAGACCTGCCCTGCCTTTTTAGGATCTCTTCAACATCCAGGACCTTCTCACTGAGTGGATCCAAGTATCAGGTCACACTGAAGCTCTTGATTCCAACTTAACGGACTTGGGACACCATTTGGACCCAGCGGGGGCTTCATCGGGCCAGTTTCCTGCCTTAGGCATCAAAACCTTCGCCTAAAGCAAACCTAATTGCCGCTGAACCAGCTCCAGACTCGAATTCTCACCCTAAACCAGCCCTAAATCACCGCAATGCAACCTGAAGCTCATGACTATGACAAATGAGTGAAAAACTTGTTGATGCTTGGGGGTCGCCACCAGCAAAATTCAACACTAGGAAACCACAAAACGGATCGAAAACAAATATCTTTGTGCAGCTGTGGGTCTTGCCAGTTCTTCTCTGAGACGGCTAGCGCTAATTCCAGCTTCCACACATGCCATTCTATCCTCCTTGTTCACCCACAAAATGCGATTCAACCTCCGCATGTCAAGGGACACTACAGGCCGTGTGTCTTCCTCCAATTGGAACGCGCTTGCTGAAGCTCCACCCGGAATGACAACGAAAGAGCTGCGTTTTGGATTGCTTCGCGCTGCTTTCTGCAGCAGCGCCAAGACTTGCTCTTCACACTGCGGCTGCACCACAGCATCCGGCACCTTGTGCAGCGGGGATCTGTCATAGAAACCCTCCGGGCAATGGACGATGTCCGTGGGCAGGGACTCTCCAAGCGCGGCCAACAAGCTCCGCGCTCGTGCCAAGCCTTCGGAGTCCTCAGGGTTGGGCTTATTCCGCTTATTCTAGAAGTCCCTTGAGGCCATAAGGAGCCCCGGCCGCTTGAAACTTTGCCCACGGCCTCCACTGTCTCTGTCTCCAAGGCCTCCACTGCCAGCTCCCTCTGCAGCATCTCACGCAGCCGGAATCTGTTCCCAGCTCCGTTCGCCCCGTTCCCCACCGAAAAAAATGATGAAGTGCTCTCTGTGTCCGGCTCCGGCCAGACAGGATGCACGTCACTTCCTGCAGTCTGAGTGTCTCGCCGCATCTCCTGAATGATCCTGCAGGGAGGTTTTGTTCCCTGGGGCATAATAATTTTCTTGCTTGGGCATGCCTTCTTACAGTTTCCTAATTTGACACAATTAATTGTTCTCCCAAATGCACCATGCCCCATAGCTGCGTAGTGCTGATGTATATTTCCCTATAATCCTCATGATGGTCATCTGAAATCCTCCATGTGAAGCAAAAAAAGCGATAGTAGTGCACTCCCCGCCTCTCTGGCCGCTCGCTTCCCGCATTGAAGACTCTGTCCAACTGAGCCCATGCCTGACCGAGAACTACAAAAAGCAAGGCAAATGCGGATTGAGAATCATCCAAATAAGCAAAATAAGTCATTGGATCATACGTCACAAAACTCACGTGCTGCCATGGTACACGTCGCAAAGGAGCAGCAAGCGGAAAGGCTTCTGGCCCCGCCACCGTTTCGGATGCAACGCCTGCAGGCTGCTCCCATAAAATATCAACAGCACTTCCACCGGAACGCAATGACGGCTCCTGTTTCCCAAACCTCTGACGCCAACTAGGAACAAACTCGTCCGCCAGCAGACAGTAGCCCTGCATGGCGTCCGTCTTGCTCATGCTCGCCAGCTCAGCCCATGCGTCCCACTTTGCCCTGGCGACCTGCTGGAATATGCTTGGTCTGGAGCCTTGGGCTGGGCCCATTGTGGCCTGCTTGTAGTGGGCATAGAGTCGGAGCTTGTTCCGGTCATCCAGCTGTGACAGCGATTTCACTGCCTCCTGCGCTGCTTTAAAGAGCACCTCATCACTCAGACAAGGGGGCGCTCCTGCAACTGATGCAGGGGCCATGGCGTTCCTCCCACTCCACTCCTCTTTGACAAAGCTCTCACGCCAACCAGGAACAAACTTGACCGCCAGCAGACAGTAGCCCTGCATGGCGTCCGTCTTGCTCATGCTCGCCAGCTCAGCCCATGCGTCCCACTTTGCCCTGGCGACCTGCTGGAATATGCTTGGTCTGGAGCCTTGGGCTGGGCCCACTGTGGCCTGCTTGTAATGGGCATAGAGTCGCAGCTTGTTCCTGTCGTCCAGCTGTGACAGCGATTTCACTGCGTCCTGCGCTGCTTGAAAGAGCACCTCATCACTCAGACCGGGTGGCGCTCCTGCAACTGATGCAGGGGCCATGCCGTTCCTCCCACTCCGCTCCTCTTTGACAAAGCTCTCACGCCAACCACGAACAAACTCGTCCGCCAGCAGACAGTAGCCCTGCATGGCGTCCGTCTTGCTCATGCTCGCCAGCTCAGCCCATGCGTCCCACTTTGCCCTGGCGACCTGCTGGAATATGCTTGGTCTGGAGCCTTGGGCTGGGCCCACTGTGGCCTGCTTGTAATGGGCATAGAGTCGCAGCTTGTTCCGGTCATCAAGCTGTGACAGCGATTTCACTGCCTCCTGCGCTGCTTTAAAGAGCACCTCATCACTCAGACAAGGGGGCGCTCCTGCAACTGATGCAGGGGCCATGCCGTTCCTCCCACTCCGCTCCTCTTTGACAAAGCTCTTACGCCAACCAGGAACAAACTCGTCCGCCAGCAGACAGTAGCCCTGCATGGCGTCCGTCTTGCTCATGCTCGCCAGCTCAGCCCATGCGTCCCACTTCGCCCTAGCGACCTGCTGAAGCATGCTTGGTCTGGAGCCTTGGGCTGGGCCCACTGATGCCTGCTTGTAATGGGCATAGAGTCGCAGCTTGCTCCTGTTATCCAGCTGTGACAGCGATTTCACTGCGTCCTGCGCTGCTTTAAAGAGCACCTCATCACTCAGACCGGGTGATGCCACTGCAACTGATGCAGGGGCCATGCCGTTCCTCCCACTCCGCTCCTCTTTGACAAAGCTCTCCCGCCAACCAGGAACAAACTCGTCCGCCAGCAGACAGTAGCCCCGCATGGAGTCCGTCTTGCTCATGCTCGCCAGCTCAGCCCATGCGTCCCACTTTGCCCTGGCGATCTGCTGAAACATGCTTGGTCTGGAGCCTTGGGCTGGGCCCATTGTGGCCTGCTTGTAATGGGCATAGAGTCGCAGCTTGTTCCTGTCGTCCAGCTGTGACAGCGATTTCACTGCGTCCTGCGCTGCTTGAAAGAGCACCTCATCGCTCAGACCGGGTGATGCCACTGCAACTGATGCAAGGGCCATGCCGTTCCTCCCACTCCGCTCCTCTTTGACAAAGTTCTCCCGCCAACCAGGAACAAACTCATCCGCCAGCAGACAGTAGCCCCGCATGGAGTCCGTCTTGCTCATGCTCGCCAGCTCAGCCCATGCGTCCCACTTTGCCCTGGCGATCTGCTGAAACATGCTTGGTCTGGAGCCTTGGGCTGGGCCCACTGTGGCCTGCTTGTAATGGGCATAGAGTCGCAGCTTGTTCCTGTCGTCCAGCTGTGACAGCGATTTCACTGCGTCCTGCGCTGCTTGAAAGAGCACCTCATCGCTCAGACCGGGTGATGCCACTGCAACTGATGCAAGGGCCATGCCGTTCCTCCCACTCCGCTCCTCTTTGACAAAGCTCTCCCAACCAGGAACAAACTCGTCCGCCAGCAGACAGTAGCCCTGCATGGCGTCCGTCTTGCTCATGCTCGCCAGCTCAGCCCATGCGTCCCACTTTGCCCTGGCGACCTGCTGAAACATGCTTGGTCTGGAGCCTTGGGCTGGGCCCATTGTGGCCTGCTTGTAATGGGCATAGAGTCGCAGCTTGTTCCTGTCGTCCAGCTGTGACAGCGATTTCACTGCGTCCTGCGCTGCTTGAAAGAGCACCTCATCGCTCAGACCGGGTGATGCCACTGCAACTGATGCAGGGGCCATGCCGTTCCTCCCACTCCGCTCCTCTTTGACAAAGCTCTCACGCCAACCAGGAACAAACTCGTCCGCCAGCAGACAGTAGCCCTGCATGGCGTCCGTCTTGCTCATGCTCGCCAGCTCAGCCCATGCGTCCCACTTTGCCCTGGCGACCTGCTGAAACATGCTTGGTCTGGAGCCTTGGGCTGGGCCCACTGTGGCCTGCTTGTAATGGGCATAGAGTCGCAGCTTGTTCCTGTCATCCAGCTGTGACAGCGACTTCACTGCATCCTGCGCTGCTTGAAAGAGCTCCTCAGTATTGCTCATAAAGAATTTTCTGCTGGCAGAAATGCAGTTCAGGACTGATGGCACAAGACCATGGCAAGCCACTATGTGTCAATCAATTTTCTCGACATGACCCGGAATGCTGTTTGGTTTTCTTTGACCTGCACACGACGTCTGAGTGCCGACAGGAAACCAAAACACCAGCGGTGCGGTTTGGCAGGGCCAACCTCAGCCTGAATCTTCAGATGCATGTGTGAGAATGATCAGTTTGGACCCACCCCTTCGGTTGTATGAGCCAACGAGAACAGGTCTCATAAGCAGCATGTGTTCGCTCCCAAGCGGAAATTGGCTGCCTTGTGACCTTGACAGCTCGCACGCTCCGGGCCCCTTTTCAGCGCCGACTTGCCCTGGGCAGATCTGGCAGCATCCTGATAAGGCGAAACAGCCGCACCGAGTCGCACCGCAGAACACAAGTCAGAACTGATGCCCGGCAACTTGCGTGAACAGAATGGAGGCTATGCAAACAAGCTACCTATGGCAATGCTCATACTGCAAGGGCAGTCCATTTCAAGCCAAAAGTTGGATCGCGCAGGTGGCCGGCCTTGACGCTGCAAGCCCTCGCCCACAGGAAGGCAGCCGCGTCACTCTCCGACCTGAGCGTCCGGGGTGGAACCCATCCAGGTTCACTTCTGCCTTTGTGGGTTCCTTTTGATCGCTCAGTCTCCCATTGGCAATTGTCCAAAATGGGGGTGGGGGACATGCCTATGTCAGCCATGCACACTGTCTATTGCTATCACAATGATTGGCACATGATGAGTATGGCAGAAAAAAAGAAAAATATGTTTGTTGGAAGTACAGCTTTAAGCCAGTATAGCTTGAGTCGGGTACGATTTCACTTTAAATGGAAACGACGTGCTTTTGTTCTTTTTTGCATATGTTGAGTGATTCGGGCAAACTTGCACGAGAAAATCACCAAAATAAACAAAACAAGCACAACATCAAGCAAACAAAAACCCAAACAAAAACCAAAAACACAAAATGCATAAAAGCACAGCTGCAAACAATTCCGGTGTCTGTTGTGCTTTGTGTTCTGTTGTTTGTTGTGGTTGCTCTAGACTAAGGCAGCATAAGCACGACGCTGGACAAGAAAAGCACAAGCAAATGCACTGAAACAGCAGAAAAAGCACAAGAAAAAGTGCCAGAAACACCCGCCGGAAATTGCGGTGTTCCCTCTACTCGCTGCTTCCAATCGTTCGCACAGGGGCAGCGCGGGAGGCGGGCGCTGGGGCAGGGGGTGGGCGTGGGCGGGCTGCGGGAGCGAGCGAAACAAACGCACTGTGCCAGCCTATTCGTTGGATCACAAAACAGCATTAGGAGGAATTGGCGGCGGCCGGCGAACTGAAACGCTGGATTTGTGCTTCTTCGTTTTGGCCTGGGATGGCCTGCAGACAAATACGCATTTACCTTGCATTCCCAAAGCACATCGCTCAAAAACATCCCCAGCCAATTTAGGGCTGTGCTTGAACTTTCTTGAACCTCGATTGTCATGAAATGAACAAGCTACAAAAAATAGTGCTTTTGGATGCGGCTCTCCGCATCCCCAGAAATCGTTGAAGTCGAAGGCCAACATCAGCATTTACTTGTCCAGCGAATTCTTGCTTTTGCAACAGGGGGGTGGCACAGAAATATGGGGCTCTGGGTATGCCAAAACGCGCTCGCGCTCTTTCGACTTGCCATAGGCGCGTCATGTTTGTTGAATAAATTCAAGGGTCTGATGCAATTCAAGTGGGTTGCAAGGTAACAGGCATTGCAGCAGGGCGCCTGTCCAGATATTGGCAGTCAACGTGGGGCACGTGTTGCCGTGTTCCATGACCAGCACAAACACATTTGAACATCCCAGACAAATGTGTTCGATACATGTTGTAGGCTCCGTGGCCAACAATGAATGTGTCGGAATATCCCAGAAAAATGTGCTGGCCGCGTGTGCTGATTTTCTGTGAGCGGCAACAAACTTGCGGAAATACATCGGGCAAGTATGGTGAGGTTCCTTAACCAAGAAGAATTACAGGGTATGAGCATCATACAAAACACATTGCCGCTTCCGCCGATTCTGAACGGCCAACCACTGTCAGAGGCAGTGCGCAGCTGCGCAACTCAACAAATACTGAACCTGGCAACAAGAAGGTACTGCAAAAGGAATGCTGACCAAGTATGTTATGACCAAGTTGTATTAGGCATGATGTGTCACTTGCGGCCGATTCTCAGAGCACGCTGATTGCAGCGCAGAGCGTCCGCGGCTGGCAAAGCTTCACAAGAAGAGTATTCTGCTAAAAATAGGAAGCGGGTAGCAGTTATATCAGTTATATCTCCTGTGTGCTCACAAAGGATCACAAGCCCATATCCTGCGACCATAACATCAGAATCTGCCGCCCGAATCCTTGGTGGGGGACCATAGGCATGGTCTCCGAGTGTGGAGAGGTGTAGATACACGTACTTTTTGGAATCCACCTGGCTCGAATCAGAATGGCATCTTCCACAGAAACCCAGACTCTCGATTGGAAAAGCGCAGCACAAGAGTGTGTGCTGCCGCCTCATGCGGTCAATCCAACGGCGCCAGAAAGGTCTGTTGGCGTTTGAGTCCGCCTGCCGAGCCAAATGACTTCAGTTCGGCCCAAGTGGTTTTTGCTTGTAAGGCCGCCGCCGACATGAAGCTCCCCGAGGGCAAGGAGTGGAAGCTGTTGTTGCTGAACTGCCTACAGCCCCCGAGAACAAATCCAATGAAACGAAGCCCTCCAACTTCACGGCCCTGCCTTCCAAGCTGCATGACAAACCTTGCATTCAGTCTGAGTCCCAAGCTGAACCCTGCAAAGTTGCTTTAGAGACATGGTCCTTTGTTGCTCTCGACAAAATATTTCGGAATAATGTTCAATTTGGCTTCAATGGCGCATGACAGATGCGCATCGACAATCTGGTAGAACCCCGCCGCATGCTAGGTTTTGAAAAAAGACCCCAAAAAGAAGCAAAACACGCAAACTAGATTCTGCTTGCCAAACAGCCTTGAACCCTGCTTCGTCCAAAAGTACCTACGCGACAGCCTACACACAGCCCACTTAAGTTCTCTTTTGTACTGATCCTTCCTTTTGATAACAAACCGCTGCTCACTTGGCGCGGAGGAAACCCGGAGATTGTTTCAATATCGCGGCGCGCATGAAGCAGCATTCTGTCCTGACAGCAACTGAGCACTGAACCCATCTGGAGCATTGTGGAAAACCTCGATGCGGTTGGCAGGGAAAAGGAGTTGGAGTGATTGTTCCGCTTTCTGAAGCGAGTCTGAGTGCCTGTCGTAGCGCTCAAAGATGACCGGCGATATTGTGACCTGAACGGCTACATCAATCAGGATGTCTGCCCTTTGCTTTGGAGCATCTCACCAACAAACGTTCCGACATTAAATTTGCTCAAAGACATCCGCAGCCCTCAATCCGTCAAACATATCCCCCCTCTCAGTGAACTGTACTACCCGTCTCAGAAAATCCCGAGCCGGGCAGGGCACCACATTGCTCCAGCCCATGAAGTCAAAGTAGTAGCGCTTTTTCGACTCTAGGTGCTGCCTGATTGCGTCAGAACTGAAAGTGGGCATGAATCCAAGTCAGAATCCAAGACCTAAATTGCAGAAAGGTGACTCATCGCTCTTCCCGTTCTCATGGGGTGGCAGGTCGTACATGCAAACATGGATCGGATAGTCCTGTTGGCAAACGCCAAGGTGAGAATGCCGCATAGTAAAATCAGCAAGGTCCTTCATGAAGTGATCCAAACTCACACGAGCTCCAATCTTCAATTGCCAGTTCAACCTGGGCAACGCGTCAAAACCACGCAAGCCGTTGTCCCTCCATCTCAAACGGCGTGTGCCGTTGTGGGAGCCATCCATATGGCGCCGACTGGAACAGGCACTAGCACGACAAGTGTACCTGTCATCACTACGGGAAGACTCCGGGAAGACTCCGGGAAGACCACGCAAGACCCGCGGCGGTCAAATTCGGTAGAATTCTGCCAAATTCAGACCGGGGGCGGCAAAATTCGGTAAAAGTTTGTAACATTCAGTGCCCGGAAGACTCCGGGAAGACCACGCGAGACCCGGGGCGGTAACATTCGGCAAAATTCAGCAAAATTCATTCAGACCGGAGACTTTGGGGCGGTAAAATTCGGCAAAATTCGGCAACAAATCGTAAAAATTCAGTGCCCGGAGGACTACGGTAAGACTACGGGAAGACTACGGGAAGACTACGGGAAGACTGCGGGAGACTCCGGGGCGGTGCAAGGTTCTTACACGACAAGGAATCACAACAAAAGGATAATCTTGCGGGAGGACTACGGGAAGAGCGCGCCAGGCTCGCTCTTGTCGCTGTTTGTGAAAAAGAGTCGGTGTTTGAATACCACTTCGTAGGGGAGATGATGAAAAGACACACCCTTGTTGCAAAGCTGGCACGTGTGATGTCCCAGCAGCACATCCAAAAATGGAGCAGGACCCCACAATCTGAAGGTGTATGTGTCCTTCAGGGGCGTGCACATCGCGATGGAGTGTATCAAGCTGGCAAGTAGAGGCAAGTCTTGCGTCCTCCGTGTTGAGGGTGCCCTCAATCTCCTGGATCATCTTGCTATATTCCGAAAGACCTGCAATGTCTGCCACATGCAAATGATGAGCTTGTCCAACAAGCACCCAAAGGCCCAATGCCAAGGAAAATCTGGGGAACAAATATAGGAAGGTGTTACAGGCCTGCAACCATTAATCGCAAGGTTCACAAAAGCCTAACCACCAACATGTTTCCGGGTGCTGCACCCACATCCCTTCGCATCAGGCTCAGCCTCGGGCAAAGCAACTCAACAAAATCCCAACAAACATCAGATTCCAAAGGGCAACGGGGCGACTAAGCTTGGTCAATCACAAGTCACTGCACCATACATCCTTCTTTGTGTGTAGCGTCTCGAGTGCAAATGAAGATGCTAACACTTGGCATCACACCCGTAGACATCGCTGGGGTCGTCCAGATCATCACAAATGTGAGGCACAGGCCTGCCAATATGCGCAGAGGATTTGCTACAGTCGAGTGGCGGTCTGGCCTGCCATTCGGGGTGATGATGATCTGGTCCCAGACTGTAAGGTCCCTCAGACACGCTTCTGTGAAGCTTTCTCGGCCTTGTTTGTGTTTAGGCACTACACACATGTGAGCTAAGGGACTGGCGACACTGTGTGGCCAAGCTCGGCATTTGGTCGCAACGCTTCCTGTATGCTTGCCCAAGAGCGACGGTGTGCGACATGCTTCTTCATGAAAAGCCGATACAAGCGCCAAATAGCCGTTCTTTGTCACATCAAAGCGAGCCGTGCCTTGCAGCGTGCTCCCCAGGAAAAGTAAATCCTGAGAAGTGCGTTGAGACGTGAGACGTGATCTCGATAGCTAAGTGCCAAGCCTGTATTGGTACTTCACCAAGGCGACCGCAGTGTTCATTGCAAGGATTGATGAGGAGGCCACCGGCTGATCCTGATAGTACGAGCCGCACTTGAAAGCACGGCGTCGCCCTGGCTTCCAAAAGCAGCATAAGTGTCGGGCGTAATTGAAATCACGAAGGACAGCCCCCACATAAAGTCGCCCTCGTGGCGCCTGCACAAAGACTCATGAGAAAGAAGAAGAAAACTGCTGCCCGTAAAGAAGCTGTCACTAACCTGCACGACAGTCCATCAGGCACGGCTTTCTTGGCTTTTGGGCCAGGCCTTTTTGAACTTGCCTTGCAGCCGCAACTCCCAGTTGCGCTTTCGAGACTGGAAGTGCTCGAAGTACGGGTGCCCGCGGTCGAGCCTTGGACGAACGCATGCTCGGCACGAATCCGAGCAAACGGCGCAAGCTTGCTGCCCCTCGGTGGGCCGGTAGAGCAGCAACACCTGGCCCTTGAAGTTCTCATTCTCCAAGGGCACAGCGGCTGTCCTGAGACTTCTGTCTGTGGGAGTTCTGGCAGTTCTGGCAGTTCTGGCAGTTCTGGGAGTTCTGGGAGTTCTGGGAGTTCTAGGAGTTCTGGGAGTTCTGGGAGTTCTGGGTGCATATGCTCTGGGTGCCCAGCGTGTTGCAGGGCACATAGTGCGCACGTGGGAGCCTGTCATTCGGTGTCAAATATTGGCCATTAGTGTTGGAAGCGCTATTTCTACAAGCCTCGAGCCGCTGCTGTTCCCGCTCTCATAATTGTGGATGATAGAGTATCTGGCAAAGCAAAATCACTTGAAGACGTATTGAGCATTGGACTATGCTTGCACAACTTGCCCTTGGCGCACGCAAGGAGGTGAGATTTTCCCGGCAGGTTGGCAATATGCCGACCTTGCCAAGGACTTCACCTCTTCGTTGTTTCTTGTTTGCTTCTATTTTCAGTGGGAGCACAATTTGCTGCGATATGAATGCCCCAGGCTTCTCAACCTTCCTAGGGCTCTGACTCACCACGCGATTGCTTGCGACAGCATCCGCATCCTGAGGCTCTGCCTAGCTCCACACGGCAAGCCGCAACGAGTGGGTGCCCAGGTGGTTGCCCAGGTCGGATCACCAGGATATGAGTGCCACTTTGTGCAAACCCCATGCCCTGATTCACTTGACTTGGCAACTTGCCACATAGAGTTTGTCTTCGGAATCTGGCCGAATCTTCTGACGTGTGATGCATCCAGGATAGTAAACCCATTGAGGGATCGACTGCGTTTTTGTTGTCAAACATTGCCAAACATCAGGTTCGCAGAAAAACATCATCAAAGATGTCTCGCTTAGCCCAAAGATACCAAACATAACCTCGACAGTACAAACCCTCACCTCCGTGGCACGCGCGAGTCTTGGCCTGGCATGCGGCTTATCAATGGGCAATTGAGCTGGGGACCCTGAGGAGGGCGACTCGGGTTGGTTTTGGGTGGGCTTGGGGATATTCAGTGAGGATGGGTTCACGGTTGGTTTAGTTTCGGGTAGGTTTGGGCGTGAGTAAGATTCATTTGATTTCGGGCAGGTGTCCATTCCAGGTGGGTTTGCGCAGTTCAGGGATGGCTACTTAAGGGTGGGCCGATGGTGGGGCCCTCCCTTCCTTGGTTCCTTCCTTCCCTCCCTTCCTTCTCTTCCCTTCCCTTCCCTTCTCTTCCCTTCCCTCCCATCCCCTCCCTCCCCTCTCCTTCCTTCTTCTCTCTTCTCAAAATTATTTCTTTTCCGTGCATCCGTCAGTCCTTCCTTCCTTCCTTCCTTCCTTCCTTCCTTCCTTCCTTCCTGCCCGCCTGCCTTGCCTGCGTTGCCTGCCTGCGTTGCCTGCCTGCGTTGCCTGCCTGCCTGCCTGCCTGCCTGCCTGCCTGCCTGCCTGCCTGCCTGCCTTCCTTCCTTCCTTCCTTCCTTCCTTCCTTCCTTCCTTCCTTCCTTCCTTCCTTCCTTCCTTCCTTCCTTTTTTATTGCTTCCTTCCTTCCTTCCTTTTTTATTGCTTCCTTCTCGCTGTGTTTTTGGTGCCTAACAAGCTTCAATCGAAATAACTCCCTTTAGTCCTCATTCCTGTCTCAAGGCTAAATTGTCCCATTGGTGTTTTGTTCATGCTTACTGATATTGTTGGTGCCCATCCCCTCGGGATTTTTTTCTTGGCCATGTAGAGACCTCTCGCCAACTGGATCGATGCCCAATTTCGAGCAGCCAGCAGGGACACTTGCATGCGCTCCGGCCTGGATGTCCGTTGGCCACAACGGGCCCAAATGACATCCCAGAAGCCGGCGGGAGCCTGTGGCACGACCTCATAGGGGAAGGTGAATCAAAAGATTTCGAGAGGCCAACATTAGAGAAGGGTTTCGTTTGAAACTGTGGTAAGGGGCATTCGACTCAAGCTATGCATACCTTGTAGAAGACAAGATTCCAGAGATTTTGACACTTCACGAAAGAGCTGGACCTGGCTAGAACAACAACCAACCTGCTACAGCAAGCATTCGCTCTTCAGGAAATTCCGTCAATCTGTAAAAGTTCATGGCTCCAACACAACAAGGGCGTTTGATGCAGGATCGCACACAAATCTGAGATTCTAGGATGCGACTCTGGCAGTGTTCGCCATGGGCAGCACAGATTTAAGTGGCACAACATACCCAGACTCATCTGAATACGCAATGCCCACTAAGGAGGAGACGGGAGACCCCGCAGATCCGGCTACGTCTCCACGGGATGTTGAACAGCATTGCCTCAGCGTCAAGCCTTCTTTTTGGCCACATGCGCATGCCTGACTGGGGGGCTGGCATCTCTCAGTAGAGGAGCTCAAAGCATCTCAAAGCTCCATAGCCAGCAAATAAGCTGTCATGGTGTGAGGTGAGGTTACACCTAGCTCAGATACTCCTGAGCATGTTTCAAATCGAAGGGTGCCAATCCTTTTCCGTGATGCAGGTCAGACTGGGGCCAACTATCGTTGGCGCCACTCAACCCATGGACGAAAGTGGCAGTGCCTGCTGGATTCTCTTCCATGCTTTCGCCTGATGGTTGGATGGAGTTGGATTTGGTATTTGGATCTGCCAAAACGGCTCTGCGGCGGGTAGAAAGCCTGCTAGCAAGGGGCCTGTCAAACTGATTGGCGGAAAATCCGCCACGCTAAATGAGCACGCTAGTTGTAGGGGTCTTTCGAATTTGAAATGTGATTCCTGCAGAAACCTTGTTGAACTCACATTTGGTTCCAATGGTTGCTTCATGCGCAGACCTCACCTTGTCACCTGTTGCAAGTGTTTTGGGTTCTGTTTGACTTGTGTTTGTTGAACACGCACCTCGTGCAGTTAGCATCTCAGAACCTGAAGCGCTGCCCTTGCCAAGCAAGGATGTTGGAGTTTGTGTCTGTCTCAGTCTTTCTGTGTCTTGCCAGCGCGGCTGGTGTGGGGCAAATCCCTTAAACCCCCCAGGTTATCACATGACCGCCTGCAACTGAAACAAGGTAGCAAATGTTGCCAGGCTCACAGTGTTTCATGTCTGTTAAATTGCAAGCACACGATGCAATCCGACGATGAATATTTCGCAAACCTGTTGCAACTGAAAGTCCATCAACTGCTAAATTACTCGGGTCAAGCTGCAACTTTTGTGCCATGAGGCAGCATAAGCGCTTCTCCAGGGTTCCCTGGCCATGCACGCTCCCTCTACGCTCCGTCTGCGCTAGGCTTTCGCAAGCCTCTAACTTGCGCATGACGCACTGTCGCCGGCACGCCGCGGCTGAAAATTTGGCGCTTGCCTGGAGAATCGCCTCTACCCGCAAGTCGGCGGCAACACCAAGCTGAGTTCGCTTCTTACTACAAAGCAACAAACGCGGAAAAAAATGAGTTACTCTTGCGCAGGTGGACTGGAAAGACTTTGGAGCAAAGCCAATTCCAGCTGAACCAGTCAAACTGCCAACTGCAGGTCCGAGGTATTTCTCGACGAAAGGCACGGCCTCGCTTTTGCGGACCCCACCCGTTTAGCAGCATCGCCCACTCAGCTTTCCAACTTGACCTGTGCCAGCGCCGGCCCAAAGCCCCGATCTGCCGTTTTTGGGTGTGCCTTAGACCACCTCAAGCCCAGCCTCGAAGAATCCCCCCCACCTCAAGCCGCACTGCACTGTGCGGCCCTTGATGGTGCCAGGCCTTCAAGGGATGCAGCCCTGCCCGTTGGAACGAAGCCTCGAGTGCTGAGACCTCCGCCCGGCACCATTGAGGGTGCCATTCAAGACAGTGTCCAAGTCCTAGGAGCTTTCGGAATCCAAAAAAAGCTCAAGCGTGGAATGGTACGCCGGTCCCGGAAGGCAATGTTGCCGTCGTCATACCTGATGACCTGCAAGCTCCAGCATTCCTCTTGACTCATGCCGTCATGTCCACGCCTTGCAGGGGCCCTCATAGGACTTGCCAGCCTGGCAGTCTGGATGAAAACGGCTGACGCCACTCTTCCCCAAAAAACAGATATGGGAAGTTTCATGCTGGTTCCCTTGTCCAAAAGCCCATCATCGTCACCAGCACCACCAAGGTTCGAATAACTACATCCCAATGCGCAGAACCTTCAGCTTCTTGTTCGGGTCGGTGATCTTCCAGGCACCCTCGTCATCGCCCGGACCCACCTGTCTGGGACAGGACCAACAGCTGACTCCAAGCTTGTTGCACACACATCACGCATGTGTCTCCCGACAGGCAAAGTTCACAGTACGAGGTCCCCTCCAGTGGACTTCAAGATGAGACACGCCGAAAAGGCTCGAAGAGTTGACGGCCTCAACCACTAGGTCAAACTTCTCTTTGGACGTGAGCACCTGCAGCCAAGAAAATGCAAAGCCATCACCATGAGCTGTGCGTACAGAACTATTGTGGGCATCACGCTGAGCGTTCAGTTTAAATCAGCACCACTCAGATGCCCTCTCGGAATCCAGCAGGATGCTTTAGCCAGCCAACGAAACGGTCTCCTGCGCTGACCTTGACAAGATACGTGCATCTTCATAAATCCGCAGCCAGCGACAAGTCTTGCTATTTAGGTCGCCTGTCCACCTGTGTTTTGGTTCAGCTTGCCATCTGAGCAGCCAGCATCCGACAACTCAGCCTTGGTAGCTATTCTGCAAAACCTCTGGCTGCTGTCCTGAGCACCAGGCGCGTGCAATTGTTTCCCGAAATTCTGAACATAACTTAGAATATTCCCAATCAACAGTAGACTCATCGTCAACTGGAAAGCGTGACAGGTCCTGAGCTTGTCTGGAGCTCCATCTTGAAGGTCCAGTCAGGCTGGTTCCAACCCACGCCTCGGGTCATAGCTCTCTGTTTCCAGGCTTGGGTCTTTTGGCTTATCCCATGCTTCGAGGGATTTCGAGCGGACTAAACCGCTTGCTTTGGATTCCCGGTCTCCAGGAGACATAGCATGGTTGTCCTTGTTCAGGATTTGAGTCTCCCAAACACTTGCCCCTTTGATCGCGTGGAACAAGGAGCTCTCAATTGGAGACATCATATCTCATGAGCATGTCGTGAAAATGAGGGGACAGCTGGAAACGGGTTGTTCCTAAAGCGGGTGCCCTCCAAAAACAAAGACACGCCCACAGCTCCACCCTCGAGCCTTGGCGGTCAAGCCCAGCAGGACTGACCTGTGCGACTCTCCCTTGGGGTGCCCCCGCAAGGATAAGACCCATTTCTACTGTAGAACAAGATCTACGTATCTTTAGGTAAGCGTCCCAAGTGCCATGGCTCCAACATACAAGCGCGCTTGCAGCGCACAGTGATCTCCTAGTCAACGCACAGAGTGCCTAGTGCTCAAAGCCCATTGTGCATGAAAGCTGCTGAAAACTACACTAGCGGCGATATCGTCCAGCCACTGCACACGCCCAGGGCCCCTGCAAGAGCCAGCAGGCTGGCCTTTCACCCCGGGCAAAAGATGAAAACTGTGTAAGATCGCTAGCAACCACAGTTCCATTTCCCAAGCACGCTCCTGTACAACCAGCATCTCTTTGGGTTTGGCGGCTGGGTTAGGAACAATATTGGCTGATGATATTGCCTTTTGACAATGAATTATGGTGCACTCTGATAGTGCCAGACATCCTTGAGAAACCATGCAGTCCTCCGCAATCGTGGCACCGCATGCGCCATGTCCTGAAACTCCACAGGCACATGTGTGATGATGAGCCTTTGCAAATGCGGAATTCCCAGCCTCGGCCTCTTGCAAGGGCGCAGTTCACAGGCAAAAACGGCCCATCTGAGACAACAAGCTGCACGTGTTCAAGCCTGAAGAAAACCACGCACAAACCAAAGCAGTCCTCACGCTCTGCTCATGTCTGATGCAGACTGCTAAGGGACTTCCGTTTTCTGCCGCGCGCGCGGTAAAGAGGCCGACCCGGTCATTGCTTCAGCCTTCGGAAAATTCGGCGTTTGCCGGGCACCCCGCAAGCTCGGATCAGGCGGAAAGGCCAAACCTGCCAGCGGCATCAGCGGCATCAGCGGCATGGCATCAAAAGCGGACAGGACAAGCGAGCCTCTCGCTGAGCTCCCTCAGCTCTCCGCCAGCCTCGAAGCCAAGTCTTCCACGCAACATTGATGGCTCACACGAAAATTGGTAAGCGCTTGCCTCGGCTTGGCCATCCCCCAAAACCGTTCTTGGTCAGATTCACTGGCCCAACAAATCATTCCAAGCATGTGTTTGTCGAAATCTGATCTCGAGATGAGTTCCCTGCACGGACATTCTCTGGGACCATCCCTTGCACACTTGTCAAACAGTATATGTACAAGTTTCGTTCCTGCCTGCAAGGTCATTTCAGCAAATGACATAAATTTCAAATCCTCGTCCAAATCCTTCTAATGTCACAAATTTCAACAAATGGCATAAACCTTCTCGTCCAAATCCTAGTGCAAATCATATCTATCCACTGGTGGCCTAATAAGAGATCAACACCAGTTCGCATTGAACAAAGTTGTATTCCAGTGGCAGTCGCCACTGCGCTTCGGGTCCCTCTTTACACATGTTCAGCATGCTTGTGGAGAAAGGAACAGCTCTGTCAGCACGCAATTGCTCAAGGCTTGTTTGCTGTTCCTTTTCCCAAGCTATGCCACTCACAGAGGCACGTTCAGACAGACCCTCCAACCAATTTTCTGTCTGCAAATATCCCACTGAGCAATGCGCCCTGTCAGCATACTGCACCCAAAGCGGATCCTGTGAAGCTGGGAGTCAAGCTCGGGTGTAAGCATATTTCTCACAGGCAAAGCAGGAAGGTCATGTCCAATGCAAAATGAAATTGCACAGCAACAAACAATCCTGAGTGGACTCGTATGTCAAAACAGCAACAAAATAGGCACGTGCCAGCAGCTCCTCGAAGGAGGAATCAGGTTCACGGAGCAACAGGTCGCGACTGGGCAAGGCGTCTCTGAAAAACCCTCAACTCATGCTCACGTTCCCCCCCCCCACTCTGTGGCTGGTCGAAAGCTCAAAAACATGGAATGGTTCCCTTTGTCTTGCATTGTCAGCTGCATTGCTGCATCCCGCCTCACTTTCACAGGGATCCAAATCCCTGCCTCTGACGACAGCTCTTGGACCTCCGGGAAAACTCGAGAAAAAGCCAACAGCCTCGTCCCTCGTCCGGCTTTGAGAAAGCCCACCTCGTCCCTGCGCCAAACCACGTTGTTCCAAAAGAACTTGAAGCGGAGCGCGGTGCCAGGACCCTGCGCCCGTAACAAGCCCCCCACTCACAGCCGACCTCATACGTGTTTAGCCGCAGTTCCTTTTGCCCCGGTTGTTAAAGCTTGCTCACAAGAAGATAAGCTATGAGTACGCAAATCCATCAGCTTGTTCTTCCCAGCTTCACGGACATAGCAAATACGGCTTCCTTCCACATCTTCATGATCTTTGATTTGCTTGTTCACCTCTCCCATGATGACTCAGGCCCCAACGCGTGTGACCCAGTCGCAGGCCACGTCGAAGTTGTCACTGCAGCGGGCAGGGCTGTCACGCTTGACGTGACTGGGCCCCAGATCACATTGTCTGCATGTTTCTGAAGGAGCACGGCTCTGCCACACTTCACTCGCACATGCTTTTGTCAGTCACACATCGGAGTCGGCGCCATGCTGCATCTTCACTGCGTCAGCTTCTTGGTGTGCTCATGGATCTGCAGTCCGCGGCCTTCCAGATTGGCCCCTACACCCAAAGAAGCTTAGATGCACATACGCCCCTGGCGCAAGCAGCTCATTGATTTCCCGTGCCTTGTACTCCCTTGTCATCCTTGCAATCGTTTAAGATCTTCAGCCGCCACGTGATTCTGCAACGTACGTCTCTGTCACAGCCTGGCCACTTGTGCTAACCCGCTGAGTGAACTTCGTCCAATCCCCTCACACAAGCGAATGATGCATTTGGGCAGTTTCAAGTGACATATTCGGCAGATTCAGCCCTGAACCAAACAGCAGTCCTTCCAGAACTGTTGTATCTGCTTCAACTCCTGCTCCTGCACGGGTTGGCTCCCACCCCCTACCCTCTGCCATGACCAGGTCACCGACCCTGCACTGATGCCGGTTCCATTGTTTTGCATCCCTGGAAAGAACCGACCACTCTGGACTGGACATGCCATGGTTGCAAATCGCAGCTCTCTAAAGCCGAAATGGTTACTACCAAGCTTTTGTGAGCTATCACCAAGCCTGAACACGCAAACCCTGAGTCATCCAGTGTGATTGCTTGATTGGCAACTCTTCATTGGGCCTTCTCTGACTCATAGAGTCTGTCTTCTTCCTGGCGGAACTTCTTCAGCCACCTCAACCACACGTGCAGCATAACAGCATGAATCGAATCGAGCTGTCCACAAAGAGAACCAGAAAACAGAAAGCTCCCCAGGCGGCCGCTGTCGTCGATCCCAAGCCTCACAGGCAAGAAAATCCCGAAAACTCGTAGCTTTGAAGTGGGCCTGCCACTGGAGCCGCTTCATCTCCGCCTGCAGCACAATCAGTGTGCAGCGGGGGTCAAATCGCGACACGTAGAAGTTGCAAAAAAACATGTAAGACACGCTTACATGCGGGGTACCCGCGTGAAAGATGCCTGATGACCTCACAGCAAAGGGGGTTGGCCATGACAGGAGTGGCAAAAAATGCAGCAGAAGGCGCACCGGTTCTCTTTACGTCAATATACACGCAGCGTTTTGCTGTGCTCGCGCAGCTTGTGGTACTTTCGTGTCGCTTGCTTGTCATTTGCGCGTCATTGCACGTCATTGCGGGTCACTTGCGCGTTACAGCGTGTCACTTGTGTCGCCTGCGTATCAATGTGCGTCGCTTGCATGACATCGCGTGTCACCTGCGCTGTCACTGTCAAAAAACGGTACTTTGCCCAAAACAAGGAAACTTTGCCGAGTCACTGCGTGTCACTTGCGTGTCACTTGCGTGTCACTTGCACGCCACTTGCGTGTCACCACGTGTCTAACCCGAATGCGTTCCATAAAAATGAGCCCCAAAGCAGCCACAGGCTCACGGAATCCACCATTTGGGGCTGACACTACTTAAAATTGCGTCCCCCTCAACTCCAGCCAGGGCAACATTATATGAGCTCGGGATTTGGTATGGACCAAAAACAGCTGTTTTGGATAAGCGCCTATATTTTTTACCTACGGAAGCGCCTTCCAAACAACGGCTGTGTTGCGTTTACCTACAAAATACAGGTCGTTGGATTGATCTGGTTGTGGATGATGTGATGGGCGCGATATTCATGTTTGAGGTTCGTCTTCCCAAGTCGTCTTCGCCTGGCAACTGATCTTGGAAGGTCTAATTCGGGCACTAATTCGTCTTCGCCAGGTAAACGCGTCTTCATGCAATTCGTCTTCACCATTTGTCTTTGCTTGGAAACTCGTCTTCGCCTGGTAATTCGTCGCCCTGCAATTCATCTTCGCAATTCGTCTTCGATGGGCCATTCTGCTTCGCCCGGTAATTCGTTTTCGCGCAATTCGTATTCGCAATTCGTCTTTGATGGGAAATTTGACTTCGCCTTTTTTATTATTTCGTCTTCGCGGAGTTTGTCCAGTGTAGGAATTCCAGGGTGCCCAATAATCGATGACAATGCGTGACGATGCGTGACGATGCGTGACGATGCGTGACGATGCGTGACGATGCGTGACGATGCGTGACGATGCGTGACGATGCGTGACGATGCGTGACGATGCGTGACAATGCGTGACGATGCGATGGTGTAGTGCTGGGAGTAAAGCTGCGGGCCGCGTACAGTGCCCACGGTGAGATTGCAAGGGGTCCACCGAGAGTACGTCGGGCGATAGTGGTTTTTGCCAAGCCCCTCTTATTGTACGACATGGTGCCCCGGCTTGACTTAAGTTATATCACGGCAAGCTCTGCTGGAAACGAGGGGCTGCCAGGACCCGGTGCCCGGCGCACTGCTGGAAGCAAAGCTGTGGACCCCTAAATGGTCCACGGTGGGACTTTAAGGGGTCGACTGAAAGCACTTCAGCTACAGTGATTCTTGGTATATCCCTCAAGGCCCCCAAGCGCGGCCTTCCCATCGGCTGGTGCCCCAGCGGACTTATGTTTTGTCGCTGGAAACGTGGGGTTGCCAGGACGCGGTGCCCGGCGCACTGCTGGAAGCAAAGCTGTGGACCCCTAAATGGTCCATCAGCTACAGTGATTCTTGGTATATCCCGCAAGGCCCCCAAGCGCGACCGAGGCTGGTGCTCCAGCGGACTTATGTTTTGTCGCTGGAAACGTGGGGTTGCCAGGACCCGGTGCCCGGCGCACTGCTGGAAGCAAAGCTGTGGACCCCTAAATGGTCCACGGTGGGACTTTAAGGGGTCCACCGAAAGCACTTCAGCTACAGTGATTCTTGGTATATCCCTCAAGGCCCCCACGCGCGGCCTTCCCGTCGAACGACCGAGGCTGGTGCCCCAGCAGACTTATGTTTTGTCGCTGGAAACGTGGGGTTGCCAAGTTGCAGGACCTGGCTCGCTGTTGGAGGCAAAACTGGGGACCCCTGAGAGGTCCATGGTGGGACTTCAAGCAGCGACAGTGCTTCTTGGTATATCCCTCAGGGGCCCAAGCGCGTTGTTCCCATCTTACGACAAGCACTCAAGCACAAGCACAATCCTTTTCAGCTCCAGGTCTGGAAGCGCTCTCCACAAGCTGCGCACTTCCATTTCATTCGCAGTCCTTTGCCCTTTTTGGAAAAGGACACTGCGGTGCCCTCTTGACACCTACGACACGCCATCTTCTTCGCAGACTGGGTGGCAGCCCGTGCCTTCTGCCACTGCTTGCCCCGTGCTGCCTGCTTCTTGTTCGTCTTCCTCTCCTTGCCAGGGCCCCTGCTAGGTTTCCGGCGACAGTAAAAGATGGGCATGTCTGGTCAGCACCTATAACTTGCAGGTGTTTTTTTTACTCTGGGCAAAGGCCGCCTCAATGCCCCTGGATTAGTTTGGGGTCCAAGCTTATGGAATATCGGTCCACAACTGCGCAGCTGCACCAGCGCCCCCCCGTCCTTGACAGTAGTTTTGTACTTCGCGTGCTGGGTGATTTGCTGGCCCTCCACGTGGAGGTCATGTAGTAGCGGCACTACGGCACTAGCTTGATATCTGTGAAAAGAATAGTACGCAACATGCGCCACGCACGCGCGGAGCTGGAAGTCATGTAGGGATGGGAAGATTTGCGTGACGCCTGGCTGCTGGCCTCTGAGGGAAAGAAGCTGAGCGACCATGGACCTCAAGTGGTTCACATGGCAGGACCTGTGTGTTAGATAAAAACTTCAAAGTCTGCAGCTCCGTGCCCGTGAGCAAAGTAGGGCACGCAGGAGCTCCCTGGAACATTAGTTGCAGGAACTTCCGCGCCCCTGGACCGACACTCACGGTCTCCTCTAGCAGCAGCGGGGGAAGGCGGGCAGTGCGCGCTGATAGCTCGAGCGTCTCTTTGGACAAACTTGCCAAGGTAGGCCCTTGGGCCAGGCATCCGCAAAGTAACCGACAAGACATCCTCCTGCGTCGGCTCAGCGTCCGATGTCTGAAGGAGCAAACGAGAGAGCCTGGAGCTACGGAGGCTGCCGAGTCCTACAACATCAAAGCCCTTTTCCTCACACCTATGGAAGCATCTGCGCCCAGTAGATCTTTATGGGCTATGTCAAGGGACCGCCCTCTCGGGTCGATAAAGCAAACCGTTGCAGATTTGAGCATGGAGTTCTTACTAGCAAAGTGTCCAAGAAGACAGCCTCCAACCTGCTTTCATGAAACCGCACTCCCGAACATTGACGGTCAAGACGCTCTTGCGCCACGCTCTTGGCCGAGTCCAGCAGCGAGCAGGAGTGCGCCAGCCAGTCCGGCTCATCTTCCTGCAGGTCCAAACCATGTAAGCCAGGTCCGTACAGTTGGGGTAGGCTGCATTGCTGTTCTTTGCAGATTGCCAGGAGGTGCTCCCTGACTAGCTTTACTGGGTACCTGGACAATTGCTTTCTTGCTCCCAGGTCATCCAGGACACGAGGCAGCAGAAGCGACCACGTGATTGGGTTGCTGCGTAAGATTCCGACGCCGCACCTGGATTTTGCCGTCTGTGTCGAAGGCAAGCTCCCGTGCCAGTAGAACCACGCCTCCAAGGAGCTGGAGATTCTTCAATGCGAACGCAGGCGTGTGGATGCACACCGGCGGGCAGTCGTACTGCCGCAGTTGAAAGACGCGCTCTGCAAGGCGCTGACGCCCGACAAGGACGGCAAGACTCGGCTGCTCCCGGGCCTCTTCCACACGGCCCCGGTCCTCTCGGCGGTCGGAGGCATGCTGGACAAGGTGACTCCGGACCTGTCCCTGCCAGATCTGGACGAGCAGCATGGCCAACCAGAAGACTCGCTGCAGCCTTAGTTCACCCAGGCAACCTGCCGTGTTTGCTTGTGAGTAATCCCAGGTCTTCGGTATTAGCCATCTTTACAACAGGGCACACGCACATAACATCACCAGAACAGAGCGTGATAGTTTTCTCCCCTTGCAGGTAAAGGAGTTCCGAGTAACTGCTCCGGCTTGTTGCGCACAGGTCTTTCATGATCAGCCAGCTCTCGCGATCTTACATGTGCATTGGCGCCAGCAAGAAGCGCTTGCTCCAGTGAGGCCCCGCGCTCAGCAGCCACCGAGCCAAGACCCGATGTTGCAGCATGAGGTTTCCTGAGCTGTCCCCACACAGGAAGCAACCCAAGAAAGATGTCACAGTCATATTATCCCACGGCTCCGAAACCGCAACGCACCCTAAGCCCGGAATCTCTCGCAGTGCTCCTTGGCCTCCAGGGGCACAGGCACGCCGCGCGTGCACAAATCCCGCACGAGAGTGTGGACGAGCAAGTCCAGGAAGCCATGGAAATGGACAGGAGGATCGGGCAACTCCCATCCATGAGGATGCATCGCTCGCGCGGGCGCAGCAGCCATGACGGGCCTTTAAACTGGTAACGTGTGTTCCTGCTTTGCAAGGGGACTTTTCACAGTGCGTGGTACATCTCTGCTTAGGAACAAGTTTGTACACCGTGGCAAAGTCGGTCACCAAGACTTGCAGCCCAAATCCTGCGCGGTTCCTGACCAGGCCGCATTGTTGCGGGCATCTGGCCGCCTGTTGCAGTGCTTCAGCGTGGGTGACCTGCAACCATATAATCTGCCGGCTTGGAGCCCTGTTGCGCACGTCCGGCGGCTAAGCCGCGGGGTTGTATGGAGGGGTGCCTGTTATGCGCGCCCAGCGGCTGGGCCGCGGGTTGTTTTCTTATGGGGGGGCCTTCGATGCACGCCAAGCGGTTTGGCCGCGGGTTGCTTACTGGGGCGCCCACTATTGTATGCGGCCACGTTAGTTAGTCTTTGAAAAAGGGAATCTCGTGAAATCTGATGTTGCCCTGCAGCATTCCTGGCGAAGCGATGGAATTATTCCTTGCTCTCTTTGTGAGCACCCCTGTCGTGTTGTGGCTTCAGAAAACGCCCGCATGCAAAACAAAGGCCACGTCTGCTGCTGGTATTCCGAGTCTTTGCCCTTCCCCGCGCTGCAATTTGGTTTATCCCCTGTGGTGAAAGAGGGTGACCACAGGTTTTTAATTGACTACGGCATCATCGTTGGGCCGCAAGATGCGGTTTCTCGATGCCACCCTGGTTCCTGGCGTCGCTGGGTAGTTCGCCTTCGCCCAGTAATTCGTCTCGCGCAGTTCGTCTCCGCAACTTGTCTTCGCATTCCCTGGCACTCGCCCTTGCGGTTCGATTCCGCTGCGCAAGTCACATTTGCCTAGTAGGTGAAGCGTCTTCGCCTGGCAATGTGTCTTCGCGCAATTCGTCTTCCGCAGTTCGTCTTCGCTACAGTAGGCAAGTTGTCTTCGCAGAACTTGTCTTCGCAATTCGTCTTCGCTGGGCAATTGGTCTTCGCCTGGTTGTGACTTTGCTGGGAATTCGTCTTCGCAATGTGTCTTCGTCTTGGGTTGGATTTTGGGTACCCCCCAGGCGCGTCCAAGGCATATGTATATACACACATGTATGCACATACACACATGTATCATATATATATATACCATCAAAGGAAATTTAAAAGCAACTTCCGTGTCACGGCAACTAATTGAAAGCTAGCTCTCTGAGACACATGACAAGAGAAGGAATAAGCCCGCGAGAAAAAATGCGCGCGAGTGTGGCAGGGGAAGAGAAAGTCGCAAAAAGCGTGGCCCTGTGCGTGAATTGCGTCTCCGGAGATGAGAAAATCGCAAAAAGCGTGGCCCTGTGCGTGAGTTGGTGTCTCCGGAGATGTGAAAGCTAGCCTGTCCGCGGCGTCTGGTCGGAGCGGTCTCGGAGCGGTCTCGGGGCGGTCTCGGGGCGGTCTCGGAGCGGTCTCGGAGCGGTCTCGGAGCGGTCTCGGAGCGGGCTCAGCGCCGGGCCGATTGGCACGGCAACGCAAAGGTTTCGCAAGGTTTCGATGGCGTGGCAGGCGCAGCATTTTGGCCAGGTCGGGCGCAGATTTCGTGGCACGCGCAGCACTTTCGCAAGGTCAACTTTGCCTCAGGATTGACTTGCGTGGCAGGCGCAGCACTGTCGCGAGGTCAAGTACAGATTTCGTGGCAGGCGCAGAACTTTCGCAAGGTCAAGTACAGATTTCGTGGCAGGCGCAGCACTTTCGCAAGGTCAAGTACAGGTTTCGTGGCAGGCGCAGCACTTTCGCAAGGTCAAGTACAGATTTCGTGGCAGGTGCAAAGCACTTTCGCGAGGTCAAGTACGGCTTTCGCGGCAAGCGCATTTCGCAAAGGTCAAGCACAGATTTCGTGGCAGGCGCAGATAGAGAAATAGATAGATCGATAGACAGACAGATAGGTAGATAAATAGATAGAAAGAAATATAGACAGATAGGTTCAGAGATTGATAGATAGATACATAGATGAATACATAGATAGATAAATATAGATAGATAGTTAGTTAGATAGATAGATAGATACAGCAGATAGATAAGATAGATAGATAGATAGATAGATAGATAGATAGATAGATAGATAGATAGATAGATAGATAGATAGATAGAAAAATGGCAGACCTGGCCTCCCTCAGCTACTTGGGAGTGGGCTTGGGGTCCTTAGGCTGCTCTGAACGCATGTCTTCCACATACTTCTCCAACGCAGCATGAAACACCGTGTTGTCCATGCGCACATACATCTCAGCCGGGTCCAGCGTCACATACGTCTGCGCATCGAATGACGTTGACGAGG